TTACTCTAGAGTCGTACATGATTTGACTTAATTGTCAAAGGGAACCTTTACCCTGCTTTATAACTAGAATTTTTAAAACAGTTCACCGAACAATAGAGTTAGATCCATGATGTATACAATCAGAGTTAAATAGTTGAACAGTTTAATTACCCTACTAGATTCTGTATTCTACAATGATGTTTAACTGTTCTCTTCAGGTCTTTTAAATAAACTAAAATGGATCTGGGTTATCTGTCTTTTAAAAGTGGATTTCCATAAATTTGTACGTTACCAAACTTCAACACATCTTCTTTGTTGAAATCTTCATATGCAAAGCAACATATCATTTCTTTGCCCGTTTCACTAATTTAACAGAATCTAATTGCCTTGAAAAAACAAACATACATATTTCTAAATCACAGCCCAAACATCTAAATTTCCCCAAGCAAATCATCTGAAAACTTGGACTGATTGATTTTCAGTTTTAGAAGTTGCAACAGAAGTTTAGATGAATCATGGAGTTCACCATCAACCTTCACTGCATTCAACACACCTCTATTGGTAATTTTCTAAATGGCAAATGAGAATGACTTTAAAAGAGGTGTTACAGGTGAGGGAATTCAAAATTACTTCCATCTGTTGGTGATGTTGTAGCTTCTGTATCCCACCTTGAACAACTGTCTCTTCCAACAGGGCAATTCTTCCTCTTAGGGGAAGCCAGTCTTTTACCAGTCAATTAAAGGTCCCAGAAAGCACAGCTTGGAAAAGTTACTTTTTCGGCTGCATCTTCCAGAATCTCTAGCCAACATAGCATATTGCCATGCTGGCAAGGGGAACTGGGAGCTGGAGCCTCAAAAAGTAACTTTCTCAAGCTATGCATCTCCTCATATACTAGCCAAGCCAGGACTGCTACATCATAGACACCATTTAGCTGCTATCTCTTCCTAAGAGCACACAAAGAAAATATATTCTGTTTTAAAGTCTACAGGGAAAGAAGGCTCACAAAGAGCAGATAAAATCAAAACCAACTCCACTACACCCTCACTCCACAAGCATCCGAGAGACCTTTCCTGAGGACTTACCTGCTTGCCCTGTATGTCTTAAAATCATTTCAAGAGTTGGCAGGAAAAATATAATATAGATCTGGCTATAGTTAGTATGTATTTAGAACAATATATATTTATAATGTTTTTTGTTTGTTTAATAAGCCATACAATAGATTTGAATAAATACATCCAAAACAAGTTCAGAAACAGTCAGGAAAGGAGAATCCTACCTTGGCTTTCTTTTCCCTCTTGATACTATCCTAAAATGTGGCTCTCTAGTTTATAAAAGGTCTGCTGAACGCTTGAGCATGCTCAGTAATTCCATTTGCTGGCAGGCTGCAGGGCAAAGCAGGTATGGAATTGAAACTACAGTATAAACATTACTCTGGGGAAGGGTTTGGTTTTGATACAGTGTAGTTGGGGTCTGATAGGTTTTAAATAATAATTGCAAAAAAATCTTGTCCTCCAAATACTGTTCCCTGCTAATGTTGATACTATTTCTTCTAGATTTATAAGGGTTTTTCCCCCATGCTAATAAAAAAAAAGCCTGCGGTGTGACTACACAGCTTTCGTTCTTCTTAAAACAGCTTTTTTTCTTCATAAAACATTCTTAGTAGTCTCAACACAGTCTTATGCTGATAACTCTGTTTTGTAGAGGCTGTGGTTGAGCAGTGCTTAAATAAAAATCCTTATTGTGGAGCAGATTTTATTTTCTGTTAAAGGTTTTTCTAGGCATCTTTTGGCCTACATTGGTAGGCTATTGTTTGTGTGTCATGTTGAGGCCTGCCACGGGGAAGGTGATGTTCTTCTGCTGTAACCATCCCATGCTCTTAAGATACTGATGTTGTTCAGAAATAGTTTCATGTGGTGTAGGAAGGTCATAAGCCCTGTCATAAGGCAGAGCTTGATGTTACTATCAGAAGGTGTAAAAAAATTAATCAGCAGATTATCGAGGCTGTTATGCACACTTACTTTGGAGTAAGCCACACTTGTTTGTAATTAAGCATGCATCCCATTGAGCAGCATATTATGTTGTTGGGCAGCAAGCTGTTGCTGGCCTGAAAATAATTGAAGACTGAACAGAAAATATTCCAGGTTTCTTTGGGTGGACTGTTAAATTGGCTATTACTTTAGGGTAGCAACTGTGTTTTTAAATCTATCTAATCCCTCCTGATAGCATCCATAATGAAACTGAGAAAATAGCATGTTACGAGCTTTTAACGCAGTACTGTATCTGTGAATACTGTAATCTGAAAAAGAAGCTTGTGCTCGTTATTCAGGATACAAATCAGTGAACGTTACCACTCTGAACATACATGGTCTTGTCAGAGGTTGGAAGCTAAGCACAGTGAAGCTGGGTTAGTTCTGGGATGGGACATCAGCAGGGAGTATCAGGATTTGTAAGTAGGGCTAAGAAAGAATCCTGCCTGGAGCCCAGAGAGTTGCTGCTAGTTAGAGTTGACAGAATTGGGCTAAATGGACCAATCACCTGACCCAATATAGAGCAGCTTTTTGCATTCCTAAGATGGATTTGTTCTCTGTAAGAGCACATCTTTGTCTCCCCTTACTCTCTATATGACCGGGTTCCCCTCCCCCACAGCAGGGGATGATTGAAAAAGAAATTGAACACAGGCCCAAGATGTCTGGCAGCAGTGAATGCAATTAGTACAGCTCGGCCACTGTGGAAGCAACTTGCTGCCTACTTAGAAAAATTCTGATGCTGCCACGTGTTAGGAGGTGATTTCTTTTTAAAAAAAGAAAGAAAGGTGGAGAACACAACACAGCATGCAGTTTGCTTAGCTCCAGTTAGCTGGGTGGGCATGACCAAACAGGCTTTTGTTAGTGATTCATGAATATGAAACTGAGGCATCCGTCATAGTGAGATGAGATTAAGTGTCAATCCTTTCTTAAATCTCACATTCTGGGTCATAGCCATACATAAACTTTAAAAAATGCTGTTTTAGTTTCCTCTAACTAGGATCCAGTACAAAGTCCCCTGTTATTTCCATTATTTTTGCCCTGCCCTTCTTTCCTCAAGAGGATCAGGGAAATATAGCTAGCTAGCTTAGCTAGATAGATATTGCAACCCAATATTGTAGTTTCTCATTCAGATTTAGATTCATTGGATATACCAATTTCTTTTTTGAACGAATGCTGGGGGTGGAGCGTTGGCAAGAAAGAACTTGTTGTGTCTCTAGGAAAGTTTTTTCCTTGCCATTTGGGCAACCACTGTCATGGATGTAGCAGATGCCTGCAGAAGGTAACACTTAATATGGGACAGGGCACATGAGGTGATTTACATGGAACTTTGAGCTCTCATGGGTTTCAGAATGCATGATGGAGTTTTTGCAAAAACAGCCGAAAGCATATATTGTACAACAGACTTGAAAATGCAGCAGTTTCAGTTCTGTCAAAAAGAGAAAATTACGATGAATTTTTGATAGGTGTAAAGTCGGGTGTGCAAATACGGAATACCTCCTTAAAGTGCAAATACTTTTATTAAAATGCTGTAATTCTGCCATTCTTCAGGAGAATTCTCTGATTATTATTTTTTTTATTTGTTTAGTTTAGTTTAGTTTACATAATAAGATAGTCCGTGCCAAGCTTTCTATGGATAAGACATATTGTCTTGATTTTATGACCAATGGAATGTTCTGGCTTTTTCAATAACAGAAAAAGGCTAGAAGAGCCACTCACCTAACTAGCGAGTCTGGGATGGATTTGTCTTGGCAGGTTGTCACTCCTTTCCCCTTGATGGGGGTGTGTTTGATTTACTGGGCGTGGCTTGGCACTGCCGGCCGGCCAGGCCATATCCTGGTGTGGAACTTTTCCTTTGTTGCTTTGGTGGGCTGCCTCCTCCCCAGGCGGTGCACCTGTTTCTTTAGCCCTTGTGAGAAGGAGAAGAGGCCAGTTCTCCCTCTGCCTCCTTCCAGGCACTCTTTGCCCCCCTTGGGCTTTGTCTCACCTTGCCTCTGAGAGGGACCATCTGCTTTGCGGCAGCAGTGGGAAGCACCACCCATTGTCCCGGGTTTCTCGTGGGGAGGGAGGGGGGAGCAGGAATACAATGCAACCCGGCCATAACTCTTCATGCCTGTCACCATTTCAAGGGTGCCGAAGCCAATTTGTCGCCTGGCTTCCGCTCCATAGACAGACAGGAAGCTGGAGGCCAGGCCTCCTTGCTGGAAGAAAGAAGGGAGCAGCAAGGAGGAGCTCTTTCGCCTCGCACACGGCAGCTGTTTCCCTCTCTCCCATTCACACAGAAGTGTTGGGCAAGGGATGGGCTGCCTGCCTGCTGGGCCCACAGCGGCTTGGGATAGTGCTGAAAATACTGGGCAGGCATGGGAAAAGCAGCATGCCGGGCTGAGGCTCTGTTTCAAAAGTTACTTTTAAGAAGGATAAACATCATTACTTTTTCAAACTACTTATAACTGAGGAAGTAGTAGAGTGACACTCTGCGACTCAGGGCACCATCATACTACTTCTCTATCAGGCATGACTTTAGATGTCATTGTATTTATTCCTCTTTAAAGTAACTTTTGAAACTCTAGGCTGAGTCCGGGCTTAAGAGCTGGATAACAGCTAGGAGGGAGCTCAGTAGAGGGAGCAGAAAAGATTGGATTGAAATCAGATGCCTTTTTCATTAACAGGTACCTCCTCTACAGTCACATCAATCACCTGTAGCGGCTATTCTGTTGGTGTGCAAATCAATGTTAATTGGGGTTGATCCAGGACTACCCAGTGCCAGCATCTAATGGAGTAGTGGAGACTGAGAGGAACAGGGTGGAATTGGCAAGGAAGGGTCCCTGAGACTATCTAGCTCCTGCTTACTCTATATTGGTTCTCCAGGATGTGCCAACATGCCTGCCAGTGGGTTTGCAAAAGCCCTTCAGAAAGCTACGATGGTTAATGTCACCGTTCTGGGTGTTTCCTGTAAGCAGCCCACTCAGGGAGGGATTTGTCTGTGCTTTGTTGCAGGGGCTGCCCACTTCCAACCAGTCGGTGCAGACGTGCTGCCTGCTGTGCCACCGGGAGCGTAAAGATTGGGGTGGTCCATCCCACAATGGCTTGGTTTCTCCAGGTGAACGGCTGCCCCCAGACTTTGTACCAACGCTCGTACAGAACCTGCTGGGAGAGATGCCACTATGGATCTGCCAGAGCTGCAGGCAGAGCGTTGAAGAAGAAGAAAGGAGGGCAGTTCAGGAGCAGGCGCTGGCGGTAAGCATTTTACCCCACAGAATATATTTCAGAAGCCCTTGTTGACCACAGGGCAGATGCTCTTGGATAACAAGGGAGAATGTCATTGTCTACAAAGTGGGAATTGGTGGATCAGTCATACTCTTCTCCCCTGAGAAAAATCAGATGGCTACGTTTATTGTTGGTTGCATTTGTATCCTGCCTTTTTCCCCAATGAGTTCAAGATGTCCATGGCTACCCTCCACCCAATCTGATCCTCACAATAACCCTGTGAGATAGGTCAGGCTGAGTGACCTGAGGTTACCCTTGAGTTTTCATCATTGAGGAGGACTTGAATTTGAGACACACAGACCCTTGTCCCTAAGTCCCAGTTCAACATGCTTACCACCACACTGGTTCTGAATTATATGTTGCGCTCCAAGCTGTGAGACTTCTCAGTGGTGGTTATCAGCGATGAGCTTCAATCAACAGCAAGGTGTTTGGACCTTTTCCCCATGTCTCTGTCACTGGCTTTGGTGACGGTCAAAGGAGAACAGAATTGGAAGCAAGAGCGGGCAGGCTGGTCTCTCTCACCTCCCCAAAACGAATCCACAGCCTCCTGGGCAGGAATTGGCTGTGGCAAAGCTGAGGCCAAAGTTGCTAACCCCCACAAACTAGCCCTCAGTTTCCTCCTCCAGAGAAGCATGCTGCATTGAATTGGAGTGGCCATTTGAGTCAAGCGCTCTTTCTCTCCAGGTCTCGCTGTCCCATACAGCCTGTAAGTCACAGTCCTGCGGGGCAGGCTCCCACTCCTCTTCATCCTCATCGTCTTCATCCTCGTGCCATGGGAACTCAGGAGACTGGGACCCCAGCTCTTTCCTGTCTGCACACAAGCTCTCGGGGCTCTGGAACTCCCAACATGCCAACGGGGCCACTCAGGGGAGCTCCCTCGGGGGAACACCTGTGGTGCCAGGTGAGTTCATGCTGGGTCTGGCGGAGTGATTCTCTTTTTCTCTGCTAGCTGTGGGATCTCCCCGCAGCTTCTCTTGTGGAAGCTGTTATGATGGACGTGGGAGGTGGCAGTGGCTCAGCTGTGTAAAGAGAGTGCTAGCATCTGCGTTCATGTGGGTACACTCTGGGAAGATAAAGCTTCTGCACTAGCCTCTCTCTTGCTCTTCTCTGGGGGGGGTGTGTGTGCAAAGAATGCTTTCCAGAAATGCCCCTCCTCCCAAGGCTCCTGATCAGAAGCCTCCATAGTCCACACTGTCTTTCTTGGGCCCAAAGGATGTGCCATAAATGGGGCGGTGAGCAAGGGGGCCTGGAGAGCAGCCAGCTCCATCTCTGACTCCCTTGCAGGTGACAAGCACCCCGGCCTCCCTCTGGAGTGTGCCAACCAGGCCCCTGCTGTGGGAGGTGGGCTCAAAGCCTGTCCTTACAACCACGCGCTCTCCCCAGCTCCCAGCGGCACCCCAGGCTCACCTCTGCCTACCTCACTCGACTTCTGCAAAACGCTTCCCAAGCAGTTCAAGAGCATGTGCCGAAGACCCACCCCGCCAGGTCTGTATGTGCGGGGCCTGGGGAAGGCCAGCAGACCAGATTCACAGGGCAAACGTGCTTCCCTATTGTTGGGCTCTCCCCTCTCCCTGGACTTCATAGGTCCTGTCATTGGGCTTCATTTGCCTTTGGCTCAATGGAGGGCTTTTGTGTGATATGCCTAGCCTGGCAAGGACTGTCTCCTTCTTCATCCTGGGGGGGGGGGGTTGTTATTTGTCATTAACTTCCCGGCCTTGTGTGGCTGGAGTTCCCAGCATGTTCTGAGGGAACTTGTGATTGAAGTGATAGTCAGCTGCGGATGGTGCTACAGAAAGGAGGGGCCTTGTAGCTGAGAATGTGATCGGCACACTGGGTTAGAGAAAAGCCCCGGGGGCTCCATGTATGGTTTTAGAGCTATGGGAACATTACCGGAAGGAACATACTAATGGGAGGAATCCCTTGGTTTTGGTGAGGAGCACTTGTTTTGTGGCTGTGAGCTGCTTTGCCCATCAGAGAACAGGGCAAAAGCTTCTGCCGTCAAATACTGCTGTCAAATCTAACATGTCATTGTTCCTCTCTGGCTACAGGAGAGGCCTTCCACTCCTCGGAGCACCACCGGCACGTGGACCTCACTGCTCCCCCCAACAGCCCCACAGGCCTCCCCTCGCAGCCACCGGCACTCCTCCCAACCAAGCAGATGCCTGCCCATCCCGGGCCCTTCAGCTCTCCTCCTCACGTCCACCTGAGCTCCTCACCGCAGGCGGCCCCCTTCCCTGCACCAGCCCTCAGTCCACACACACCAGCTCCAAAGCCAGGAGCAGAATCCCCTCCAGCTGGATCTTGCAAGAGTCCACACCTCTCCGCTGCCAATGTGCCACTGCTGAAGATACCACCTCCTGTAGGTTGTACACATCCATGCAACGGCCATTGCAGTGGCTCCCTGGGCCCACCTCCTGCCTCACATCCACTGCCCAGCTCTAACAGGTGAGTGGGAGCCCTCGCCCTGGGAGGTGCCTTACTAAGAGAAGTGCTCTCCACATTTCCCAGGGATACTTTGCCAGCCAAGCTGGCAGAATACCATGTTGCTCTTGTTTGACACAGAAACTGAACTGAAAACTGTTCCTGGGATCGGGAGTCCTCTCTGGAACCATCACAGAGGACCGGATGATGTCAGGGACGGCTCCCTTAAAACCCTGCCCTCTGGTCTCATCCAACCCCCATTGTCTATTCTCTGTATAGAGAGAGGCATCTAGAAAGAGGTGAAGCCACTCCTCCAAGGGCGGCTGTCACCCTTGGAGGAGTGTCTTCTACAGGCATTTGCTGGGTCCTGAGTTTTGATCGTCCACGTCTTCCCTTAGGAAAGAGGAAAGATGATAGAAGCAGATTTAGCAGCACTTTGAGCAGCCATACCTCACAGCACTAAGTACCAGCCTGGTTTCACTCTGTCCCAATGATGGGAGAGAGGCAGGGTGAGTGGGTGGGAGGGAGCAGAGGGAAGCCAGCAGAGCCTTAGTCTAGAGGAACACATCTCAATACTGTGGCTCAGCCGTTCACCTGCCGCACTCCCTTCTCTGAGGGGATTGTTTGGGGAAGAAGCCTCACCCGCCACCTCCATGGGCCTAGCAGGCCAGTCTCATGGACCAAAGAATCCCTATCCCTGACTTAAAAGCCAAAATGCCAGCACCTGACAATTATGTGTTATGTCTGCCTGTTCAACTAACGTTTGAGCTTTTTCCAAACGTATCATGTTTTTTCTCTATTAAAGAATACACAGGAGAAAACTTATACCAGAATACAAAATTGCTGTAGATTTGGAAGAAAAGATCTGCTGATAAGAGTGGGGAATCATCTTAATGCATGTGTGGATTGTTCCTACAATGTCCACAGGGATTTCTTATTTCAGAGCTAACCTTTCTCATGTGTCTTTCTCTGTGGGTAGCCATCCGCAAAAGAAAGGGCTGCCTCCAAACCTGTTCTGTCGCAGGGTGAAAGGGGAGGAGCCCAACTTCACCCTGAACAGTTCAGCCACTGTCCTCAGGCACACCTCATGCCGAGAGTGCCTCCTTCTAGCTGGATCAGGCTTATGTTCATCGGTCCTCATCCAGCTCATCCCCAGCTACAGTGCAGCACCTCCATTGGAAGTGGAGGGCCTTTTGTGCAGGGTATTTCCTCTCATCTTTGTCTTCGTCTCTTCCCTCTTCAACAGGGACCCTTCCTGCAAGGGCCACAAGTTCCCGAATGGTACAAGCTGCCATGCCCCGCAGTCATGTGAGGCCGATGAGGGGCTGGGGGAGGATGAGGACAGCAGCTCTGAGCGCAGCTCCTGCACCTCCTCTTCCACGACCCAGAAAGATGGGAAATTCTGTGACTGCTGCTACTGTGAGTTCTTTGGCCACAATGCGGTAAGTAAAAAGCACAGCCAGTGGCCATCCGTGACCTTCACTGGTAGACTTGAGGGGTTATGTGGGAGGGCGGGCCGGTGTTTTGAGAGAATGCCATGCTGACACGTGCTGGCATGGCATGCATGGTTGTTCCTCTATGTTGGCCTTTATAGCCTTGGGATACCCCACCCCACCCCACCGCTTGGTGTTCCGGCCTTGGACTTCCTCACGGTTCTGCCAACTCTGTCCTGAGCTGTCGTTCCTGTCCTGAGTTATCTAAATGAAGCCCTGCTGTTGCGCCCTGCCCTCAGCTGTCTCAGCTTTGGATCTCTACAGAACCGGGTGTATATTGCGTGCCTGGATGAAAATGGCTGGGGATCTCGGCAAAGCCTTGGGCTAGCAAGCGGGGAGAGCAAGGAAGGATCCTTGGGAATAGTCTCTGTTTGTGATAGCTGTGGAGCGACAGCTCCGTGGTAGTTGGTCTGCTGTCCTCACAGCAGGCCAATAGCCCAGCTCTGTCCACACAGCCTCCAGCTGCCCCAACAAGCCGTAACTACGCAGAGATCCGGGAGAAGCTGCGTTCTCGGCTGACCAAAAGGAAAGAGGAGCTTCCTCAAAAGTTGGGGCATAGCAGCAGCTCAGGAGAGCCCGCCGTTGACCACCGGGATGTGGACGAGCTCCTGGACTACATCAACAGTACTGAGCCAAAGCCCCTGAACAGTGCCAAGGCTGCCAAGCGGGCACGCCACAAGCAGAAGAAGAAGGTGGGCTCTTTGTGCATGTGAGAGTGTGAAAAAGAGTGTGCCTTGGGCCAAATCTGCCAGCAGAAAAGCAGAACGGGGAAGAGAAGTTGATTCCGTGGACTGGGAGAGAGATGCGAAAGTCATGTCCTGTCTGACAGTGGGAGTGGATGAATCTGTACCATTGTAAGATTCTCTTTTACAACAGGCATGGATGGTTTTCTGTCAGTCCATGAATGTGTGTGCAGACCTGGAGTGTGGATGGATGTAGATCAATGAGTTGAAAGGCTGGCAAAATGAAATGCATAATGAATTTGCATTTTACGTATGTCCATTTGGCTGTGCTTTCATCTGTTCAGATGCCAAAAGGTGTAGTGTCAGAGTTAGCTCCCAGGCATTTTCCTTGCAAATGGATTGTGTCGTTTCATCCTCTTCTTTCCCACATACTGCAAATAGCAGAATGGCAAATACCTCAAACCCTCATGTAAACCATATGGCAGCCCCCACCCCACCGTGTCTCTAGTAAATCTACTTGTGACCACTTGGTAAGCAAGTAAAATGGACCCTTTAGGGGAAGGATTCAGATAGAGACTGAACATATGAAACGTCATTTTATCAACTCAGACTGTTGGTCCATCTTAGCTTGCTGTCACTGTCTTGGCTGGCGGTGGCTTTCAAAAGTCTTGATCAGAGGCTATTTACCCTAGTTGCCTCCCTGGTGCCTTTTAAATAGCAGGGCCAGGGAGGAGGCATGTACTGTATGCATGCCATGCTTTTGTTCCACCACTGAATTCCAACTCTGTTCTCCTCCATGAAGGTTGTCTCAAAGTGTGCTGACTGGGCTATTTACCTGGATCAAAACTGCATGGTGAGGGGAGGCATAAATAAGAGAATTAAAAATAAGACATTTTTGGGTGTCTTCTGTTAACCTGCATAATGTTTTGTTTATATGATTTTGCTTACTGCCTTATGTAGTCCAGGAGTCCATTCGCCACAGGTATGGAGCCCTCTGCTTATGAGCCACGTGTTATCTGTGGGGCCTTGCCATGTGCCCCATACCAGCCTCCCTTTTTATCCAGCAAGCAGGCTTTTGAAAAGCTCCCATTTCTTAAAGCTGAAGAACTGCATGTGCCATGATTGGAGAGGGAGGGTCACAGTGAAGGAGGGTGGGTGTGTAGGGGGAATCTGGTTCCACCCGTGTTTTGTTTTCACTCTGCCCACTGCTGGCATGCAGACCCCACAGATATTATGCTCTTAGAGATGGGAAATTTCCTCTTTTCATACTTCAGCTCCCAGAATCACTACCCAGCGTGGTCGATTCAGTACTGCAGTCTTAAAAGTAACATTTTCAGGTTCCGGATCCTTGGAGACTCAGTCGGGGGGGGGGACATTCATGATATATGTATTGCACTCTGATTTGCCATGCAATCAACTTCCAACAGAGAAATGAAAGAGGTAAATTAAGCTCCTGTTCTCCCTGCATATTCTGTTTCTGTCACTGTAATGTGTAGACAAGGCAGAAATTGAAATAAGTTGAGAGGTTGTTTTCTGTGGATGATGGATTGATTAAACAGGTCCTTCAATCATTCTCACCTAGACTCCCACATTTCAACTGAGCTGGGCCAGGCAATGTGGACATTTTTCTCTTGTGTTTGTCTGCACACCCCTTTCTTCCTAGCCCTCCACACTGCAGTGCTATAAACAGAGTTTAAGCTGGGCATGTGGCAACCTTGCTTGGAGCTTGTACGCTCTGGGAAATAGCTGTGGGAAATTGCTGGCAGGGTATCACTTCCCTAAGGTTTGTTACCATAGCACTGACTTGGTGTGTGCCATCTCATTGGTTCTTACCATCATTTCCCAGGTGTACAGTGTGGCTTATTAGAGCTCCCCTTCAAAAACACAAAAATGATTTGTCACACTGAAAAACAGAGGCCTGTTCAGGCATCAGGCCCAGGCCCTCTCTTTTCCCAGCTGCTTGTTGGAATGCTGGTCCTCCTGGTGGGCTCAAATTGCTGATTTTTTTTGGTGTTGCAGGAGAAGGAAAAGGCTCAGCTGGAGGCTGAGGCCCAGAAGCGAGTAGACCGAACCCCCCCTACAGGTCAGGACCAGGAGCTGGCAGAAGAGAAACTTCTGGAGTGGCCCCAACTTGAGTTGGAGCGTGTGAACAGCTTCCTGAGCAGCCGGCTACAGGAGATCAAGAACACCATCAAGGATTCCATCCGGGCCAGCTTCAGTGTCTACGACCTCAATTTAGACGTCAACGATTTCCCTAAGAAAGCAGCCGTGCTGGAACAGAAGAATCTGCTCTCCCACCTCAATGGCTCCTCTGAGTTGCAGGAGATTGACCTTGATTTGTCTCCACTCAGCCTGGGTGCCCCACATAACCATACGCTGATGCGGAATGAGGTGGGCCCTCGATGGGCAGACAGCCCTGGAGAGGGGCCCCCAGCGGCTTCTGAGAATGGTGTGGTGAAACGGCTCAACGCCGTCCCTAACCTCTCCCGTATGATTTGGGTTCAGTCCCCCAAGCTGACTGACTCTCCCCAGGAGAGTGGGGCTGGCCACGAGGCAGCACTTAGCAAGGGAGCAGAGGTGCCGGAACAAGCACCCACCACGGGCAAGCAGAGGAAAGGCAAACGGCAGGGCTGTCCAGCCAAAAAGGGAGAGGCTGTGGCCACCAGTGAGCCTTCTGCTTCCAAGATGGCGGGACAGAAGAATCCTTCAAAAGGCACTCCCCTGGATACCCCAAAAGGAGGCAGTGGCGGGGAGCAAGGCGATGGGGCGAGAGGGTTGCGACAAGGGCAGGGATGGGGTTGCAGTAGTGCTAAAGCAGAGAAGGAGAAGAGCGCTGATGGGAAGAGCCGGAGGGGTGAAAGCCGAGCTGATCAGGCCGAGCAAGAGCCTGCATCTTTGGGAAGTAGCCACCGGCATCTGCCCGCTACAGCTGCACCAGATGACTTGCCCCAGCCAAAGGGCAAAAGCAAGAAGAGCAGGAACAAAATGGAGAAAGCAAGCCCTTCCATTGGTGAGTAAGGCAAAGGCTTTCCCCATGGCCCAGGGACCTTTCCTTAGGAACCCATTGAGCCACTTCAACACCAAGGGCCCAGCAATTTCTTGGCTCCATCCTAGACCACTTAAGGCCCTCCAGTTATATAACAGATATTCGCAAGCCCTGTCAGGAAAGTTAGTGTAACCGGGTAGCTGCCAGCTTTCATTCTGATGGCCATATAACAGCTTTGCAGCGCCATAGCCTGCAGTCTCTTTTAGAAAGATATATTTGAAAAGGTACCTAGGAGAGCCTAACTGTGCTGCCTGGTAAACTCTGCGCTATTCTGCCTTGGCCAAGCTGCACAGACTGAGAGTGCCTCCTGAAGAAGAGGAGAAGGGCGAACCATTTCTGAGAATTCTGTACCTAGGAAAGCCTTGGAATTGACTTGATGGCAAATAATTATTAATTTAAAGGAAGAAGCAAGAGAAATGCAAGTATCAGGAGAGCCCTGGAACTGTACAAGCTACAAAAATAGATACCCAGACCACAGCTGGGAAAGCTACAGCCTTCTAGATGTTGTGGAAACAATATATATCCCATCAGCTCAAACTAGCACAGCATACACAGAGGAATGATGGGAGCTACAGTTCCGACAACATTGGGAAGGCCACGTTTCCCACATCTCACATTTTGATTTCGGCCTGGCTGTGTATTTTCACCCTTCTCTCTGCAGTTATAAGTGCTTCCTGGTTTGGGACAGAATTGAAATTTACACGAAGACAGTTTTTCGTGTCTGAGAACCTACACATCCTTTATTTTATTTGCATTTGTCCCCTCCATTTTTTCTTTCTTTTTCTTATTTATTTATTATTCAACTTATATACTGTCCAGTAATGTAAGGTGGTTTACAACATAATCATACTAAATCATATTAAAAGAATAAAACAGTATATTATAGAAATAAATATTGAATCAATAAAAAACACTGTAAATAACTAAACCTATATTAAATAAATAGATGAGAGCAACTTAGAACATCTCAGGTAACAAGCATCTTTGCATCTCATATTCAGTGTTATGTGACTAAGGTGACATAGAATATATTTGAATTATCCAACATAGATCTGACTAGCTTTCTCTGATTTGATCTCCAGGTTGTGGACTTTGGCACATTTATGATAAATGCAAGGAGGTGTCTTGTCTTGGCTATGTTTGAGTGGCATGAAGCATATGCTTGGTTTGGGCAGGACATCCATCATTCTTTGTGAATCTCCCTGGCTTAGCTAATATTTTTCCTGTTGTGCTTTATTAGATGATGTGTTTCTGCCCAAAGACTTGGATGGCGTGGAAATGGATGAGACTGACAGAGAAGTGGAGTACTTCAAGAGGTAAGACTTACTCACATCAGCTAGTGGAAATCTTGTAACCAATATCCTGTCAAAAGGAGGTAGTTGAGAATGGCAGAGAGACAGAAAAGGACTGTTTTCTTACTTTTTTGCCATGATTTTGACATTGCTTGAAGGAGTTGTAGATGTCAAGTAGATGGAGAGGCTGCCATCCACTGACATGATGGAGAGGGAAAGCCCAGTATTGATTGATTGATTGATTGATTGATTGATTGATTGAATTTATATCCTGCACCATCTGGCAACCAGGCCACAAATAGGGAAATTAAAACAGATGGCAGTAAAGGTGGTAAAAAGAGTGATGGAGAGGATGGCAAACAGAATAGTAAAAAGGGAGGACAATGCTCTTTTGAATCCATCCAGTGAGGGTGCCAGATGAATCTCAGTTAGCAGGTTGTTCCATAGGCAGGGGGCAACCACCGAGAAGGCCCAGTTTCTAGTTCTTTCCACCCAGGCCTCCTTCAGAGTCAAGGCCCTCAACCACCTTGCTGTGAGGAACAGGTATTACAGACAGATCTGGCTGGGAGCAGGCGTTCTGATAGGTTCAGAGGTCCTAAACCGTTTAGGGCTTTGAATGTTATCATCATAAACTTGAAGTCAATGTGGAAGCAAACCAGTAGCCAATGAAGGGCAGCCAGAGTGGGGAAGATGTGCTGAAATTTCTTCACCTCAGTTATTAATCTGGCTGCTGAATTCTGGACCAGTTGAAGTCTCTGCATCAGCCTCAAGGGTAGCCCATGTAGAGAGCACTGCAGCAGTCTATTCTTGAGATTGCAAGGTCAGGAATCAGCATCGTGAGCACCCCCACGTCTATATAGGGACACAGCTGGGCAGTCCTCCAAAGATGGAAATGGACTGTCCGGACCACAGATGCCACCTGAGTTTCCATGGTGAGATCCAGGTCCAGGCAGCTGCCCAAGCTGTGAACCTCACTCTTCGTGGGGAGAGCCACTCCCCCAAAGGAGAGGGAGTTTCCCAACCCACTGACGTCAGGGCCACCCATGTGCAAGATTTCTGTCTTGTCCGGATTCAACCTCAGTCCATTTGCCCTCATCCACCCCAGAACGGTCCCCAAGCAGCGTTCAGGGGATGGAACACAGCATCCATTGCAGTAGGAGAAAAGGAGAGGTAGAGCTGGGTGTCATCAGCATACTGATGGCACTGAGCTCCACAACTCCGGATGACCTCGCCCAGCGGCCTCATATAGATATTAAATAGCATTGGCGAGATGATCGACCCCTGCAGAACCCCACAATTGAGGATCCATGGGGTGGAAATCATCTCATCAAGCTGAACTCTCTGGGGACAGTCCTCCAAGAAGGAATGGAGCCATGCCAACGTGAGACCACCAATTCCCAACTCCGAGAGCTATCCCAGGAGGATACCGTGGTCAGTGGTATCAAAGGCGGCTGAGATATCGAGGAGGACCAACAAGGACATATTGCCCCTGTCGGCCTCCCTCAGGAAGTCATCCTGCAGGGTGACCAATGCTGTTTCCGTACCATGCTGTGGTCTGAAGCCTGACTGGAATGGATCAAGGGCATCAGATTCCTCCAGGAGTGCCTGAAGCTGATCGGCCACCACCCTCTCAACCAGTTTACTTATGAAAGAAACATTGGCGACAGGCCTATAATTCCCAATTTCGTCCACCGCCAAATTAGGTTGCTTTCTAATGGACCTAATGAGTGTCTCCTTGAGGGCAAGGGAGACCATGCCTCCTGGAGAGACCCATTAATTATTGCAGTGGCCCATTTTGTTGTTACCAGCCTGGCTGCTTTGATGAGCCAGGCCGGGCAAGGGTCTAAAGAGGAAGTAGTGGCACAATAGCGTGCAATTACCCTGTCCACCTCATTGGACATCACAGGTTGAAAGCAAGCTAACCTCGCTGGGCAAGACGATGCACTCGACGTCAGGAGGATGTGTACTGGGGAAGCTGTTGCCTCCGTTATGAAAATCATAATTGGCATTTCACTCACTTTGCACTGTATTAAGAAATGCTCCTTCTACATTTCTGAGCCGTACATTAGGTAGGACTTAAAAACAGGATACAGATATTAGTTCAGAGAACAGTGCAACTCAACAGCTGCCCAGAATTAAAACCCACCAAATAATATTTTAAATAGCTTTCACCCTAGAACCCAGAAGAGGTCAGAATAGGTGCAGAGGGACTATTTTTGGGGGGAGGGCTGTAGCTGTTGGGGCCACAACCACAAAGCTCCTGTGTCTGGTTCCTGCCCATGTAATCTCTGAAAGTGAGATTGCCCAGGATCTGTGTTTGCAAGTATCAAGCTGTTTAGAGCTCTGTAGATAAAAACTAACAATTTCAATTATACCCAGAACTTTCAGCACATGGAACATACAATCAATATATTGGGTAATCTGGCCACTATGTTCTGAACTAGTTATAGTTCCTTTATGATTTTCATAGGGTGCTCCACCTACTAATTGTGGTAGTCATCAACCTTACAAAGTACAGTGGATTAACTGGCAAGATAAGCGCTTTGAGCTGCAGATGCCATGTGGGGGTTCATGAGTGAAACTGGAACTACATGTATCCTGGAGCTGCAGACCTCATTCTTAAAGGGGGACAGCCCTGGTCAAAACAAGTGAAATTATCATCTCCACTGACACCCCCATATAATGAGCAGCAGCACCTGAGTCTTGTCTGGATTACGCTTCAGTTTGTTAGCCCTCAGCAGGCCCATTCCTGACTTTGTGCCCCATCTTGTATATCTTGGACACCTGGATTAGATGAAAAAGGAGAATTGCAGGTGGGCATCATCAACACACCCATGACACCTATTCCAAATCTCCCCTTACAATTTTACCCAGTGGTTTGTATATGTCTTAAACCATAAGGATGTCATAGTGTATAAAATATTGCATCAATCAACCCCTGGTTCCAGTGTTTGGAGTCTTTGGGACAGATTGGACAGAATAAGCACAGCGTGATACCCAAGCAAACAATCCAGAGGTCTACCACGAATTTGGGTGGCCCTCCACCTTTGGTTTGGACAGTAGCTCCCATCAGTTTGTATAGCCAATGGTGAAGGATTGTGGGAATTGCAGCTGAAAAACATCTAGAAGGCCACAGCTGCCAACCTTGCTGTAGCTGATTTCCACTATAACTGTTTCTAGGAGAGGAGTTATGTTACTCTGTTATGGCAAAACCCTGTTCTGATTAAATGTGATGCAGTTGTGCTATTATTCCTGCAACTTTCCAGTTCTTAGTTCAGTGCTCCCCTTCAATCAGCTGCCCTGCAGTCTATGCATTGATCCTTAATTCTCCCAGGCTGGCTATATCAGCATCTTCACTCAGCTTCTCTATTCTCCCAGCATTCTGGCCCATGCTGACACCTTCCTGCCAGTGAGATGTACTCGCCTTGTTACAGTCTACAGAACTTCCAAAATGGAGTTCTAAATTTTCTCATAGAAGCAGCACTGCCTGCTACTGTTACAGTATTCTTCAATCTTTTCAACATTTGAACTCATGCCATGAGAGCAGTTCCATCTATAGAGCTGGAATTTGACAGGAGACAGTAAAAGACAGCTTTTGTCCACATCTGTGCTGAGTATGTAGAATCTATATTCAGCTCTGTTCTGTTTCCCCTCCCACTGTACTTGCAGGTTTTGCCTGGACTCAGCCAAGCAGACCCGGCAGAAAGTGGCTGTAAACTGGACCAATTTCACCCTGAAGAAAACCACTTCGAGTGCAGCTCAGTGAGGTGTGTGGTGCACCCCTGGTATATGAGCAGGGCCCCACACTTCGCCTCCCCTCCCCAAGCCCCTAGACAGACACTTGACTTCACCAACCCTCAGTCCTCTTCTTCCTTCCTCCCCCTCCCCGGGCTCCCATTCCTAGCCTATAGGTGGGGCCTGGACAGCCCCAGTGTCCCTCACCTCTCAGTGTTCGACGTTCGGGGAGATGCTGACTGAGCCGCCCCAAGCCCAGGGCAGTCTTGATCGGCCAAGGCCCAGCGTGGCACAGGGACCAGGCTGCACCCAATAAAGGACTTTTTAATTTTTTATTTTATTTAAAAAACCCACCTTTTCTGTTGTTTGTTCCAGCTCTTCTGGTCCTGGGAAGGGGGGGCAGGCAGGGTGATGGTCTCATTGGTGGAGGTATGGGACTGTCAGCAACACAGCACGAGAGAACCATGGCTCCTGAATGCTCACTTGCTGTGGATTGATATAAGGGCATCAAGCTCTCATGGGCCTGCCATTAGCAGCAAGCAGGAATTTTGCTCTCCAGTGTGACAGCGCCATCATCTCCTTACACAGTGGCAGATCTACTGGGGTGATATAGCTGTCCTCCATCTCCTAGGAATAGCAGGTGCCACTGAGTCCGAAGGAGCGCTACCCTCATTCTCAGGGAATGTTTCTTTCAGTGGAAATGCTATGTTGTGTGGCCTCTTCTCTGGGGAAGAAGTGCGGTTTCTTCTTAGTCAGGTAGCCTGTTGACCTGGTGACAGTCGGCATTTTCCTTTGCCTCCTGATGCAGTGAAACTCAGACCTGAGAACTCTAGGCGTATACCATCCGAGACAAAGGACTCTTCGCACCCCATGCAGGTATCACTTCTGTTGTAAGCAACTCTATGCTATCCATGGATGATGAGTGCAAACCAGTCCATTCCACCACAAGTACACAAAGCAGGATGCTCCCAGTTTGCTGCATGCTCCTGCAACAAAATAAGCGTGTTAGTAGAGATGGGGATATTCGTAAAGTAATAGGACTATCCCCGTCCCAGCTGCACCTAATGGGGGTCCGGCCCCTGGGGCCAGCCCATCCACTCACGCGTCCCAGCGCTGCAAAGGTCCTGCTCTTCCTGCCAATTGTGGCAGAAGCTCCGCTGTCTCCTTGCTTGGCTGGCCACTCCAGCCAGGGGGCGGGAGGATGAGTCTCTCCGTATGGCTGCTGAGCGGCCAGCCAAGCAGGGAGACAGCGCAGCTTCTGCCACAATTGGCAGGAAGAGCAGAATCTTTGCAGCGCTGGGACGCATGAGTGGATGGGCCGGCCTCAGGGGCCAGACCCCCATGAGATGCAGCTGGGACGGAGATATTCATATTTATGTACGAATACAAATATCCCCATCTCTACGTATTAATGTTCCTCACGTATGAAGATGTCCTGTGTTTCCTACAGAGATGTGATATCCACGTGAAGAAAATCCTCATGTCTCAACACAAGCAGCTCTGCACATTACACAGGCAGAATGTCAGCAAGTCTCTCCAGTCAAGGGAGGGGTAGGTGCTTTTGTTGGGGTGGGCACACCCATGGCCCGTAGGCTATGTGTTGCAGTCCCAAGACTGCTTTTTAATCCCCATGTTCCCTCCATCACAAACTCAAACTACTGAAATGTGGCAGCAAATTGCATTTACACATAGTATTTCCTGCTTGATTTAAAGAGGGCTTAGTGGTTCAAAGACAGGTTTAGTGGTTATGCAGCTCATAGGGAGTTGTAGTTTGGGTTAGGGTGGCTTAGCCCTGAACTTGCCAAGGCTGCTCCACACCACCTGCATTCTACTGAGAGGCCACTAGTCCATAACTACTCTCTCTTTTGGGTTCGCTGTTTTGCCAATTCGAGCCCTGCCCTGAAAGGTTTGATTCTTCTCTTACAGTACAGACCCCCTAACCATGGATGATGGTGGGGTGTGGTAACCCTCACTGGCATCTTATTCACTGAGACTCCTTAGCAATTTAGTTGCTGTTACTAAAGCCAGACTCTTGACTTACAGCCCTACAAATGCCTCAGCTGACAATCTTGTGTTCTCATGCTGGTAAAAGTCAGTAGCTGGTGTTATTTTGTCTGGTACAACTGACAAAGTCTCTTCACATCTCATGATGAACAGAATGGTGGGAAGGGCCTCTAGGACAATGCTTCCTGGCAAAAGAAAGAGCAGCCCTACTGTAGCAGTACCCTGGACTTGTCCTGTTCCAGTTGAAGCCATCAATCTGACTTGTCCATACATGCATATTTCTCCTTAAAATGAGAATGAGGAACCTGTAGCTCTCTGGATGTTGTCCTACTGGTCCCTGCCATCACAACTACTGGTGAGATCTCAATCTCTGGATGGCCATAACTTACTGGATGTTGTCCTACTGGTCCCTGCCATCTCAATCTCAATCTCAATCTCTGGATGGCCATAACTTGCCCAGGCCTCCTTTAAAACTATGGGAAAATACAGATTAATTCTTCCGTTTTCTTTAATTATGCTCGTGAATGTTATTCCCACACACTTTGGTCACCCTATTAGTCCACCCAAAATAATCTTATTTTAGATGATATGGATTATTGCCAGGCCCACCTGGAATTTACCTTTGGTTCCCATAGTCTCAGGTGAGGTAAGTGCCCTGCCTCCTTTCACTTGCCCTCTTGATCATCTTATACTGCACAATTGTAACTCCAACATTAAGCTGTGGTGGGTCTGGTCCCTGATTTCTGGTGCTACTTGGGGTTCCTCAAACAAATTGGGGCCCTTTTGTGAAGGAAGTGCCCTGCCTACTTCCCAGAAGGCTTTGTCATGCTGATCTCAAATGGCACACCAGCCTTTCTGGCATTCTTAATTACTTTGCTTTTTGATATTGTGCAGTCTTTCATGCTGAAAGATAAATGGACATTTGGACACTGAGTGGCTATGTGTACTGTGTAACTGCTGCCTATAGCTGGCACCAAAGGACAAGCATCTCTGGCACTAGAGAATCAGAGTTGGAGCCAAACTGGCTGCTGGCACACAGAGCTACATAAACGGCAGCCCATGCAGTCTCCTGTGATACAGGTCCTAAATTGTCTACCTGTGTAAAATTCCACAGCCTTTATACAGTACTCCAGTCCTAAGTACATAGAATAATTAAATTCTGTTAGCTTCCAGCCATAACTCAGAAGAAGCATCTACTGCTTAGAATGATTTTTACTTCAATCAGCTATAGCACTGGTTCTTAACCTTGGGTTACTCAGGAGTTTTGGACTGCAACTCCCAGAAGCCTTCACCACCAACTGTGCTGGCTGGGGTTTCTGGGAGTTGCATTTCAAAAACATCCGAGTAACAAAGGTTAAGAACCACTGAGCTATAGAATGGGAGGCAAACTGCTTGCAGCTCATAGTACTTATCTTAATGCATACCTCTTTTCTGTGTTTGATAAAGCAATGTGTTATTTTTCCAATTAGTCCTACTGAAGAATGGGGGTGGAGGAATATTGACTAGGCTGAAGACCATGTAACCAGGTGCTAAGCATGTGTCAGACCTATCAGAAAAATGTAGCTAGATAAGACCACTGGTCAGATGCCTTGCAAAGCCTTCTACATCAGTGGTTCCCAACCTTGGGTCCCCAGATGATCTTGGACTAAAAGTCTCAAAAGCCTTAATCACTAGTTGTGCTAACCAGAATTTCTAGGAATTGTAGTCCAAGAACATCTGGGGCTCCAAGGCTGGGGACCACTGCTGTAAGCCAACCTTGCTCCTATTGTTCCTCTCACGCAGATGTGGTGCACTATTCAGTTGGAGGAGTTGTCATCCAACACAGTAGAATTGCTCCAGTTTGGGAAGGACTAGCATAAGCAGTGTAGGAATGGAATAGCCCTTCCCCGTTATTAGTCTCCATTTGCCTCTAAATAATGGATTGTTCCATTTATCACAACCATTAATTCTAGAGCAAGGTTAGGTCCTCTGTTCCTGGGTTGGAACTCTCAGCAGCCTTTGCCAGCATGACTCATGGTGAGATATCACAGGATTGGCAGTCCAGTAACATCTGGACAGCCATACTTATCCTTCTTCTTTTTATGTCAGACATGCTATGAATGGTTGTTACATATCGAAAGTAACAGTGATCCTGGCGGACCAAAGTATGACATCAAGCTTCCAAGGAGAAAACATTTATCCATATCTTAGGAATAATTATCTCATTTTCTACTTTATAGAGATACAGAGATGTAGCACTAATGTGATCTTTGAAAATACCTAGAGAAAGGCCTCATTTGATTGTCTTAACTGCAGGACCAGGTCATATAAGATGAAAAGGTCTCTGATTACTTAGGGTAGGGATGGGCAACTGTGACTCTGTGCAGATGTTAGTGAACTACAACTACGATTTCTCACCACTGGCTGTGCCGGTAAGGGCTGTGGAGAGTTACAGTTCAGCAACCCTTGGATCATGTTAGTTACCTAACACAATTTAGGGCTTTAAAGGCCAAACTTTGAACTGCACCCAGAAGGAAAGAAATTAAGAATGAAAGAGAGAGCTAAACCTTTTCCAATATGGCCATCTTACTTTGAATAAACTGAAATATCTAAGCACTCTTAAAAGGCAGCTGTATGCTCGATAGATTGCTGTAATCAGTCTGGTTACAACATTCAAAACATTAATAGATATGGCTGGGATACTTCTTTCCCAGTTCTGGGCACTACAGTTTAAGAAGGATATCAACAAGCTAAAGAAGGGCAACCAAGATTGTAAAGGAACCAGAAACTAAAGCCCTATGAAGAGCAGTTGAACAAGAGCCATATCTGACTTAGGAATGAGAAGGGCTGGTATGACAGTTGTTGTCAAATATATAAAAAGCTGTAATGGAAGGAGCACTAGGCGGTTCCAGAGGGTAGAACATAAAACCAATAAATTCAAATTACAGGGCAACAGATTTTGATCAAAGATTAGGAAGAACAACCTAGTAATACAAGTTCTTCAGCAGTGGAAGGGACTACTTCTGAACATGGTAGACCCTCCTCTGTGGGCTTTTTAAAACAATGGTTGGATGGCCATCTGTTGAGGATGCTTTAGCTATGGATTCCTGCACTGACTGGGGATGCACTAAATGATCCTTAGAGATCCTTTAACTCTACAATTATATAGTTTTCATTAAAGCTGGTAAGGACTTCATGCTTCAGAAGTTACTCGTGCATCCCTAAGCAACAGCTGGAGCTACACGTTGTGAAACAGATCATTACAGTGAATGCTGCCACCACTGCTGACTCTAAGGAGCTGTTTATGGCATCTGCTTCTGGATTTGATTAAAGGGAGTACAAGAACTGAATATCTTTGCATGCTGATAACCTTTCATTCCAAATCTTTCTACAACCTCTCCCAGTGGTTTCATGTAGCTATTAACTGGTATAGAGGCTACTCTGTGTGCTTGTAAATTAAACAAACTCACACAAAACACACATATGAAGGCAACAGAGCAGAGTATCTAATCAGACTCATCGAATCATACTGCCTGTCATGTCAGACAATTTAGAACAGGGGTGTCCAACCTTTCACCTTCCCTGGGCCACATTAGATGAAAATTTGGTTTGGGCCGCACATACGTTTGGTTTGGGCCGCATGGGGGGGCAGCCCTAGCCGTCCTCTGCAGCCCCGCTCAAAGCACTCTTACCGGCAGCTGCGATCTCAGACAGCAAAGGCGGCCAGCTTCGACTCCGGTGGCTTTATGGGGCCGGGAGGGGGTCCACCTATTGACGGGGACAGCGCAATGCAGTCACGCAGCCCCGCTGTCCCCTCCCCTCCCCTCCCACTCCTTCCTTCCCTCTCCCCCCCCCTACTGTTGTGACATGCCCCAGCCACATGCCGGCCACAAATGCCGGCAGTGTAACTTGAAACTTCGGAATTTCTTTAAAAATAAAAAATTGCACTGGGCCGCATTACGAGCTGACCTGGGCCGCATGCGGCCCTCGGGCCCCAGGTTGGACAAGCCTGATCTAGAAACATAACTTGGTCAATTCTCTATCAACCATTATTCCAGGCATCATGATTGTAATATATGTTCACTGAGTTTCTCAATATTGATGCCTAGCCGATCCTACTTGTGGCAGAATAAGATAGCCAATACAAACACCTAATAAGCAGCTGCATGCAAGCTTCTCAAGCAGGACAGAACTACCTGAAACTAGATACAACCTTCTTATTTGCCATCAAGAGGCCTTTGACTTACATTGACTGCAAGAATGAGCAATCTCCAAAAAGTCCTGTCCTCAACTGCCCTGCTCAGCAAGCGTAAAGTCAAGGCTGTGGCTTCCTATTGGGAGCCAGTCCATCTTGTATGTCCTAATAATGAGAAACTATAACAGAAACAGGATTCCAGGTAGGAGGTACTGATATATAGTTATGTCTGGTTATCCATGAGAGCAGTAGGAACACATTTGACAGTGTGACTTTCCCCCAAAGTTAGTAAACAAAATGACATAGTGGCATGTATGATGGTATGCCATCTTGTTTTCTAGTGGTGGGTGCCCCAAATCATTTTTCTTCCCAGATGTGGGTTTTGGTTTTGTGTGGAGGAGAGGACAGAGATGGGCAACAGTGGCCCCTCAGTTGTTTTAGTCTGCTAATCCTAACATTCATAGTATAGCCAATGTTGCGATACTCCATATGTTGCAGTCCAAAAACATCAATTGCTTACCTCTGGCTTAGGAATGAGCATAGCAATATGTGGGGAGATCTCAAACTTTTCAAGAAGCAGAAGCCTGCTGGGAGAGGTCCAGAGGAGAAGCCTTTTCTTTCTGAGGACGTATCAGTTCCCAATGCAGAGTCTTCCTCTCTGCACCTCTGCAACAAGTTTGTCAAGCACTGTTCCAAATTTTACATCCTATTTCATTATTTTTTTCCTTGGAATATAACTACAGTATATGGAAATAACTGCCATAAGATGTTACAAGCATCCTGGTCTTGTTAGCTTTTTGAACAAAAAATCCGACCCAGCTATGGATGAAAGATTTACTTAAAGTTATTAAGCATAATGACAGAATCTCCACCTCCAAAAGCAGGGCACCTCTGTATCAGTTATTAGTGAGGGGGGCGGGCATATTGGGCAAAGAGTGGAAGAACGTAGTTGCTTTCCTGCCAAGCTTGGAGCTTTCTAGAAACATCTTGCTTCTCAAACTACTTTATGTTAAGCTTCTCACACTTTTTCATCAGACATCCTCTCCTTACCCTCTAACTTCTGCCTTTCCCTCCTTATCCCACACCAGTCCCCCTCCCAGTAACTGAATTAATACCTTTTATAGTTTTGCAGAAAAAATTCTTGAATGTGCCTTTCTGTCTCCATTTCTCTTACATGCACACAATACACCACCTTCCTAGCTGAGCAGCATCTGCAGTACTTCCTTTTTATACATTACTGTTAAAATTGTGGAGGCACCTTTCTTTTTAACTTTTGGTCACTGTTCCTGATGGTAGCCTTTTTCTTCACTGCCTATTAGCCTCTACTGGTTTGATATTCATCTGTTTGCTAGTTCCCACAATTATTTTCCCCACACACAAATGATATGCAAAAGCATACTATAGTGAGCTCTTCAGTTTCAACACCCTTTACATTTGAAGAGTACTCTTGAGTAGCTAACCGAAAACCACATGCATTTGCATGTACAGCTTTCCTTGTTTTAAATTTAAAATCACAGATTTAGATTACAATTTTGGACCTCTATATGAGTGAGCAGTTATTACTGCTAAGTGATTACTAGTACTAAAAACTGGTCTATTTGGGGTTAAATACATCTGCACAAGTCACTTCAAGCCTTCATGTTGCAGGCAACTCCAACTTTAAAATACTGTCTCACAGGTTATTTGTACTAAATAACATTTAGTTTGATGCGGAAGTCAGGAAAGCTTTCAACAATGCTGTTGTTTCAGTTTTGCACACCGGTGTCTGAAAGATTTAAAAAGTACTATTGAATATCTTTTCTCACCATGAAGATTTTTCTCTCTCACACACAAATGCATATAAATTCCCTTAAAATACCATGGCTGGTAAAATTGAAAGTTGCTGAGAAGTCCAACAGAACTAATAGGGATACACTCCCTGTTCCCAGAATAGATCATCCACCCAGGCTACCAAAGCTATCTTTGTCTTGTAATCAGGCATGAAGCCAGATTGAAATGGTTCAGGATAATCTGCCTCATCCAGGAACTGGAGCTGAGAAGCCACTCTATGCTCCAGTACTTTTCCCAGTAACGGAGTACTGTAAACGCACCACTCTGGTGTGATTGAGAGAGGATTTACAAATGACTTTACTCAATATCTCTTAACAGTACTTTTACACTGTCTGGAAGCGTGCCTTGGTATAAAGAGGCACCTTACCTATTTGGTCCATCCCTGCAGCTGAATTTATCCCTGTTTATCCCACCTAACATTAGTGCCACCTAATGGGTCTGTGATACATACTATTGCATCTGAAGATTGCAAGGATTTCTGTTGCAGTAAAAGCAAATCAGCCAGTTGTGTCACTGCAAACCTCTTGGGTCCAGTCTCAATGCTACAGGTGATGTTGTAGTAATAGAGCTATCTTTAGCAACCTCATCCTGGCTGATTCTATGCATAAAGTAGACACTTGGGTATTCATGAAGGCCAGGCAGAAGCAAGCTACTAGCTCAACCGTATAATGCACCAGCTACAAATGTATTTGATCCAGTTGTTGAGAAAATCCTGTTGATTTTCATACACAAGCCAAACGTATGCTTTTGACTATTTGAGGACACGTCAACAAATGCATCAGCTTATAGTATATCTATTGTATACAGGGAGTACACACATTACTTTTTTAATGATATGCATTTGGGGAGGAAGCTGAATTGAACCATTTCTACTGAATAAAGTTTTTGACATGCACATGGAAATTTAAAAAATCATCAGAGATTCACTCTGCCAGAGAAACGACAGGGAACTATTTGCAGGTACTACATTTTATCTGCCTTTGTGTTTTTATGACTGTACATATTACACATGTTCCTTTTCCTGTTCACTGTAAAAGCAGGTGTTCAGTACTACAGTTGAGAAAGCTGATCAATTAACATCTGCAGTAGTAGCTTGCCCAGTGCTAAATTAAGGATAATCTGGGCCTTCTATTTCAATTTCTTATTTAACCTATTACCCTTCTAAAATGTTTAAAAAACTGTAAATACACAGTATAAATTTCAAAGGCTTTCACAGCCAGGATCCGATGATGGTTGTGGCCGTGTTCTGGAGGTTTTTCTTTCTGTCCTCTGAAGATGCCAGCCAGAGACTGGTGAAACGTTAGGAAGAAAAACCTCCAGAACACGGCCAAACAGCCTGAAAAACCTACAACCACCACACACTATAAATTTCGTTTTCTGCAACATTATCGTGTAACACAAGGTCTCAGAAAGCCCCTCAAGTGATTCCATCTTCCCTTCAGAAACTATCATCTTTCCTTGTACTGTATTATGCTGGCACTGAACTGCTGTCACATAAAATGGATGAGAAACAGGGAAGTGCTATTCTAAAATCCATGTTGTGGACTTTTTTTAGATCAACTGAAGTTTTAGAGAGAAAATTCTCTGTACCAGCTTTCAGAATTAAAAACTGTCAGCTATGATATCACAAAAAGGGACGGCTGGAAACTCAGTGGTAGAGCAAAATAGTTTGTGCTGTATGTACCTAAAGCTATAGGGAGAAAACGTTACAGTGGGGCTCATCAAGTGTTCGATTTCACCCTGAACAGCACCCATTTCTTCAAACATACAACATCCCCTTTGCAGCCCAAAGTTGACCACCTGTAAACTGTTCTTTCCCGTGCCCGCTCCCCCTCCACGACGTAACGGACTTCTCACTCGGGTTTAAAAACCAGACCCAGGAGGGTGACAAAGCGTCGCGCCGTTATCTAGCAACGGACGCGACCTCGCTACGTTATCAAGGAGCGACACTCAAAGCTAAGCCTCACCGCACTGGGCGGCTAGGCAGCTTTCGAACTCCATCAACCCCAAGGGGGGGGGAAGGAAGTGAACTGCCCCGCCCACAGCCCACGACGGCCTTCGTAACCCAGAGGCGGGAAACCGAGCCAAGGCTCTCGCAGCCAGCCGGCAGCCTCCTCGCGCCAGCCCCTCCCTCTCTTCGCCCAGCGTCGCGACTGACGGATGAGGTCACTGTCCCATTATAACCTTTAGAAGGATTCTTTTCCCGTCTCTCCTCCGCTTTTCTGCTTATGTTTGTCCCTCGGTACTTCCCGTCTTGACGTACATTCTTTCTGTTCCGGGAAAGGGCCGTCTGTGGGCGTGGTTGCAGGTTGCTAAGTGACAAAGTCCTCTCTAGCCACGGGTCTTAATACCCGGTGGGTTCGCTTCTTCTCATTGGCTACTTGCGTGGGGAGGAGAAGAAGGGCCAGCTTGCTCTGAAAACATGGAGGCCGGAAGTGCTAAGAGGGTAAGGCTGTCTATCACCAGCAGCCCTTTATTCTGCCTTGTTTTCTTGAGATCGTGTGCATGATCCCTGCGACTGATTCGCCTCTCTTTACCCACTTGCAGAAGCAGCGCGAAACGGACTCTGAGGCGTCAGGCCTGTCCGGAGAAGAGGACAATGGGGACTACCAGCCCTACGTGCCCGTCAAGCTTAGGAAACAGCAGAGGGTAAAACAGGCCGAGATGAGAGCGGTGCCGGGAGGGAAGCTTCTCGCTACGGCCCTTTCTGCCTGCCTAGTTTGTGGGTCACAGCTGGGGAAGCAGGGCCCACTGAGGTTGGTTAGGGCTGGCTCCAAAGGATCGTAGTCTGCCTGCGGGCATCTCCCTCTGGCTGGTCTTTTCGTTGTTTGCCGGTCCTTGGGTCGGTTGCCTGCTAGAGGTTGGTCTCCCTTGATCACAAAACAAAAGGAGGGTTGCTATGGATCAAAACAGCCCTCCAAATTTAGCTGCATGGGATTAAGCAGAAGTATCGTTTGAACTGAGTCTCCTTGAACCAGAGGTACTCCACAATTTCTTGGTTTGTAGCCCCCATCACTTTTAGCCAGCTTGTATTAAAGTTCTGTCTGTGGAGGACATCAGATTAGGAAAAGGTGGGTGAAATTTAGAAAGAAGAACCTGTTGGATGGGATGGTTAATGAACATCTTGTTAAGGATGTAATTCTAGATGAGAGTTCTGAAGGAAATGCAGGTGCGTGTCTGGATTGTGGGCCTGCCAGTGAAGGCCTTGGTTCCAATGGGTCATTCTAAGCTCTTGCCTTCATGTGTTATACATATCTAGCAACAAAAATTGCTGCAGATGCGACGCAAGGGGGTGTTGGAGGAAGAACAAAGGGACAGCGGCAGCGAGTATCATGGTGATGAAGATGATATTCCCCTGGGTCCACAGTCCAATGTTAGCCTTCTGGACCAGCATCAGCACCTCAAGGAAAAGGCAGAAGGTAGAATTGGCATGGACAGAGTAATTTCTGGGTGGAGAAAGGGTTTGGGGCTTATGGAGTGTAACTGACTGTTCTGTTAATTCTCTCCAGCACGTAAAGAGTCAGCTAAAGAGAAGCAGCTTAAGGAGGAGGAAAAGATCTTGGAGAGTGTGGCAGAAGGGCGAGGTGAGCGGCAAGAAATTATTTTCTCAACAATCTTTTACAGTCCATTGGTACTAGGCAGAAGGTGTGGACAAGGATGAAAGTGCTACACTTCGGAAACAGTGATTAATCAATTTGTGTTTAAATTGTATAATGCATCTGTGAGCTTCCACGTTCTTATTGTTCTCTCAATAAACTAGAATCCCTTGGGCAGAACAATCCACTTGCTCTGAATCTCCCTCATTTTCTGATTGTTGATAAGATCATATGTTCCTTGACCTTGAAAAGAGCTTGCTAACTGTTGAATTTCTTTCATGTAGCACTAATGTCTGTGAAGGAAATGGCAAAGGGCATCACATATGACGATCCTATTAAAACCAGGTAACTCTTCCCATGAGATTTCTTCTCCTCTGTATACAGCAAGACAAAAGAGCTCCCCACCCCCAATACCTGTGTTCTGCGTAAAATCTCTGAAGAGTCTTGTTCCTTCTAGAAGCAAAGGACACACAAATACAATAAACCCAGAAGGACTTGCTACTTGTAATGAAAGATGGAAATAACCCAATAAGTGTTTTAAATTCTTCAGTAAATTACTGGTCATCTCATTTTGGGCAGTTTGAAACATTGTGTGACTTGTACAGTTTTGCACAAAAAAAGCCAGTTGTGCCACAAAATTGGCAAGCACAATGTTTTGCAGAAAAGTTAGGCTTTGTCAAACACCAAAAAATTCCTTGCTATCGAAGAACAGAACATTGCAATTGTACTTCTGCACCTGTGAAGATTTACTGTATATCTCTACTCACGTTAGGTGCCATTTTTGTTAAAGGGGCTAAGAGAAGTCAGTGGTATGCAAACAGTCCCGTATGCTGCACATTTCTTTCCTAGACTATTGGCTTTGAAACTGTTGGTGCTTTGTATGTATAGATGCATGTTCTCTCTTGACCTTGGCAGGTTGGGGGTCAAAATCAGGGCTCCTGTGCAATATAGTAGATAGAGTGTAATATGCTCAAATGAAGTGAGTGAATAAAGGATTAAATAAATAATCTCTCTAAGGAATCTTTTGAAGTGATTTGCTGAAAAACTTATACTTGAAGTTGTTTCATGAAACAATTTGACTTGTAAGTTGTCAGTGTTAGGCTACTAGAAAAAAACATATGAATTTTTTTAATGCATTTGATGATTAGTTATGTTCATGGCACTTTACTATGAGGGATACTGAAAACTAAATGCAGTGAACTGCGTTCAAGATCTTGCAGAGGCTAATCCTTACAGAGCAGGCCAAGAAGAAGGCCATGTTTTCAAAATGGTATTAATGATGGAAAGATGTAGGTTGTGATGAGAAAAGGTCTTGTGTCATAGTTTTGTCACTATTGCATTCAGGTTTATTTTATTGGCCATTTAAACATGGCATTCCTGGGAAGACTGTACCAAGATTTTACTTCCTTTTTGGTTTGGGGGATAAATAAATGTTTAGTGGGGAATCATAAGTGTGAAAAGCGGATTAGATTCCGTCAACCTAAAATGTGCCTTCCGCTCTTCTAGTGAATATGCTGCCTGTCTTCTTGATGAGGAGCCATGACTTCTCACTAAAGTTGTTAGAATTGCTGTTTGAGGGGTCTTGTTGAGTAGTTGTAGCTTGGTATTGTTCCTTGCTGAGCTTTTCTCTGTGTTTCTTTGCCAGTTGGAAGCCTCCCAGGCACGTCTTGACTATGTCAGAGGCACGGCATGACCGTGTGCGTAAGAAGTATCACATCCTTGTAGAAGGTGAAGGCATTCCACCCCCGCTGAAAAGCTTCAAAGAGATGAAGTTTCCAGCTGGTAAGTGACTGTGATGCTAATTTTACGGCTGCAAGCAATCTAGTAGCTCTGCCTGCTCCGCTGCCATATTTTACGGACTCTTTCTTCTACTTCCTTGTACCAAACAGCCTGAAAAACAGTTATTTGAATATGCAGGCAAGTTATTTGAAACAGTAGTAAATGCATGCAGTATGTCATTTTCCTATTCTCAGAGATTGTTTAAATAAGGCCTTGGGAGTCAGGATCAGGAACACCCCAAGTGAGAGTAGACAAGCAAAATGGAAGGAGTGGAGACTGGAATAAGAGGGGCGGAAGAGGGAAGTGAGGGGGAGTCATTGGAGGAAGCATGGGAAAAGATTCAGCTGGTGTTCTGGTCTTAATGGAAATGCAACCGAATGTCCGATGGAAACTATGGACTACTGAGTGCATGAGCCTGGCCTGGGAGTGCCAATCCAAGGGTAGCATGCCCATCTTTGCCTTGCTGGAACCCCTGGACCGTTGGCCGTAACAACCGAAAGGGATTCACCCATCTGGACCCACACCCACCCAGTGGAGGTGCTGATGCTACCACAGCTAGCAATGATGCCTCTTGCAGCTCACTTGGGCACGGGAGGTGATCTCCTCCTGCAGAAACAACCCTCCATCAGGGACTACTGGCTCTCCAGGAAGGGTGCTGCGGAGCTGGGGCTAGCAAGAAGAACTTGGCCCCAACAAAGAGTGAGGGATGGACTGGGGCTAGTGAGTGGAACTCAACTCCAGTGAAGGGGGACAGAGAAACAAGGCAGGTGCAGGAAACCACTGGCTGGGATGACAAGTGATGCTGTGGCTGGGACAACTCCAGACCCTTGGTCTACTGATTCTGGATGAGTGGCTGAATTAAAAAAGGCTGTTCAAGGACATTCTTGCCTGTGTGTGTCTATGGAACAATGCTAAAGGAGCCTTTTCTGGTGCCTCTCCCCCTGGAAGGGGCAGTAGGCATACAGTCACACATCTGGTGTGTAATTGAGGCATGGTGAGTATGCACAGATGGAAAGGCCACATAGCTGCTCTTTGCATGATTATCCTCCTGTTATGGAATTCAAAAGGATTCTGGCCTTTGGATGCCAAAAAGAAACAATGGAAACTACCCACATCTTTGGTTCATGGTGGGAGGTGGCTCTGTTTTTTGGTTGCTCTTCTTAGGCTGTTAACCTCTGCCCAACAATTCTTACAGCAATCCTGCGAGGCTTGAAGAAGAAGGGGATCCAGCAACCAACCCCCATCCAGATACAGGGAATACCTACAATGTGAGTGTGTCAAGAGTATCTTGAACCTTCTTCTGATACCACTTAACCAGCACAAGCTTTGTGCTAACCATGCTTCTCCTTCTCTTTCTCTGCAACCACAGTAAAGCCACACAGGGAATCCTGTGGCAGTTTTGGACCAGGGACTGTTTCATCAGGCCCTTGGGAAGTGTGCTAGATCTCAAGAAAGCTTGTAGTATAGTACTGTTAAGCATTTAAGAAATCACAGAATTTATTTCTGTGACCAGTTTGGCAAACCTCCTAAGATTTATAACTCTACATTGGTAGGGACTGCCTTGGTAAGCCCCTTGGAGAGAATTTTCAGTTAAAGAGCAAGGCAAAAATATTTCAGATAAATTGAGTGTCGCCTTTCAAGGCAGTTTCTATCAAATGGTAATGCTTAATGCATCAGCTATCAATGAAACCTCAACTGAAACATTAAGACATTAAAACAATGTGGAGTCCTACACTGAAAAGCATTTTGAAAAAAGGTTCTGTGACGTCCACCCTCGTGTCCGTTTTGCTTGACCTCCAAGCCTCAGAACACACGAAAGTAAACACTCTCTTCTTTTCACTGCTGCCACCAGGCAATCTCTAAATCACCAGTACTTCAGAAAGATTCAGGTATACACTTCAAGTTCCTTTAAATAAAACTTTTGTTTATTGATTACAGAGATTGTTTCATTAATATCTTCAGTAGCTAATCACACCTCAGAATTTCCTAAACTACACACTCTGTTACTTTCTCTGACTTTTCTCTACCGCCTGACTCTTAGATTTCTCTTACTTACTCAATCTACCCCTTGACTCTCTGGCTCCGCCTCTTATAGCATCTCTTTCGGCTCCGCCTCTCAGCAACATTAATATGCATGAACCATTATTACATAACAAACATAAACCATTACATAAAATAACACGAACCATAGACCTAGTAAATAGGGAACGCTACAGGTTCAAATAAAAATGATATATTAATTTACACAATAGAATGTTAAAGTTTTATATAAAATATAAAGTGTTTTAATGGGAAGATCCTTCATGTTGGAGCAGACCAATACAATTACTTGCCCAGATGCTATTATAGTTTTGCTTCATGTTGGAGCAGACCAATACAATTACAGTACTTGCCCAGATGCTATTATAGTTTTTTCTTTTTTCCTGTAATGTGGGGCTGTCATTCTGACCTTCCAGCTGATGGATTCCATTCCTAGAGTCCTGGCCAACGGTTGGGGCATAGGGAAGTCTAGAACAGCCATTCTCAACAAGGGCCACATGGCCCCTGCAGAGCCCTGGCACATTTGAAGGGGGCCACAGACTGGAAACCATGTTTCACTCATCACCTTATAAGATTCATTTTGTGACTTATTTGGCCTATATTTCTTTCATATTATGATTTGGTCTATATTTCTTTCTTATTGTAATTATGGCCCTGCCCAAAAATGGTTGAGAATGGCTGGTATAGACCAACATCAAGTCCCTTCGCTGTCTGCTTCTATGAGGTACTTGAATGTCGAAATGTGGCAGCTCATTATTGGCAGTACAGTATTGACATGTCTTGTTCTCTGTATAAGTCAAGTGGGGAAACCTGTGACCGTCTAGAAGGTGCTGTCAGACTCCAACCCCTGTCATTTCTGGCCAGAGGCTGTGATAGTCGAGGCTCCCAGGAATTGGAATCCAGTAACATTGAGGGGGCCACAAGTCCCCCACCTGGACGCACACTACATATGCTTCCTGTTGCAACCTCTTCCCAACTAAAGAGGTGTCTTCTTTTGTTTATTTTCCCCATAGTCTTTCTGGCAGAGATATGATTGGCATTGCATTCACTGGCTCTGGCAAGACGCTTGTGTTCACTCTCCCTGTGATCATGTTCTGCTTGGAGCAGGAGAAGAGACTGCCCTTTTCCAAGAGGGAAGGGCCATATGGCCTTATCATCTGCCCCTCAGTAAGTCACTTGATCTCTCCGTCTCTCCCCCCCCCGATTCTTCCCTAACCTGATATACATATTTGGATATATAGTGCCGATGAATGAAAAAATAGTTGTGGCCCCAAGAATGCATGCATGCATGCATACATAGATTACATAGATTACATAGATTACATACATAGATTACATAGAATACATACATACATACATAGAATACATACATACATACATAGATTACATCGATTACATACATACATACATACATACATACATACATACATACATACATACATACATACATACATACATACATACATACAGTCCATCTAGACTAATCTACTCTGGGCAGTTTACTGTCCAAAAAGGCAATAACATTAAAATCATCAATAAAAAGACTAAAGCAAACCAAAAACAAGAAGAAAAAAATAAGTAGATAAATTAAAAACAAAAAACAAAAGGTGCTTGCAGTAGTCACCCAGGCAGGTATTTACTGGCTCACTGGCTCTTTCTTTCTACAGAGGGAATTGGCTCGCCAGACCCATGGCATTCTGGAGTACTACTGCCGCCTGCTGCATGAAGATGGGATGCCTGCCCTGCGCTGTGCTCTCTGCATTGGAGGCATGTCTGTCAAGGAGCAGATGGAGACCATCAAACAGTAAGGGCAGCATTTGGGACAAAGGAAAGCCCCATTAGTGTTTGAGTTGCTAATTTTCCTTTGTGCCGATGACAGAAAAGCCATTCCTTACCATTGTCGGTCACCTGGCTTTCTTCTCGTCTTTTATGGCATTAATAGGTTTTACTTGTTTCTAGACATTTAGTACCATTGAAGTAAATCCATTTTAGTCTTAAGTAGTGGGGACCCAGTGAATAAATGGGACCTGTTAATAAAGGCTTACAAAAATTCCATTAATTCAGGGGATCAACTCTAATCAGGACTCAGAAGTGGATTTAGCTCATTGTACATAGCGCATGCACTGACTTCTAGGGGAAATTAATCCTATTTTCCTCTTTTACAGAGGTGTTGATCTAGCAATCCTGTTGATCATAAAACATAAACAGAGCTGACTTAATGTTGGGTGGTTGTTCTGCTGAGCTCTCTAATGAAGGAGTGAGTCTAGAACAGAGACTGCATATGCATGAGTTGTTAGTCTATCTGAATATTCCTTAAAACCTCTGGAATGTAGGTCTCCTCTTTAAGGGGAAAGAGTTTTTAAAAATGGTGAGGTAGTGCAGCGCAGAGTAGAGAAGGAGAATCTGCTCTCTAGGCAATGTTGGCCTGCAGCTCCCATCCTCACTCAGCATTTGTGGGTAGAATCAATGGGAGTCAGGAGTCTGAGAGCATCTGAAGAGCCACACGCTCCCCATCCCTTAAGCATGCTGCACAGGGGAATACGTGCATGGCCATTTCTTGTTTGTTTGCATGGCAGCAAAATATAGCCCCTGGCAACTCTTGCTTGTTCTGTGTTCCCATAGTGGCGTGCACATGATGGTAGCAACTCCAGGCCGGCTAATGGATCTCCTGCAGAAAAAGATGGTCAGTCTGGATGTCTGTCGCTACCTGGCACTGGATGAAGCTGATCGGATGATTGACATGGGCTTTGAGGGAGACATCCGCACCATCTTTTCCTACTTTAAGGTACTATGCTGGGCAAGCTGTGCTCCAGACTGGAAGCTGCCATTTGTGGGATTTCCTTTGGCACTTGTGTTCAGAACCAGCAGTCTGTCCTGGAACATGCCAGGGAGTCAGAAGTGAAAGCAAGGTGGCCTTTGCCTCTCTTTTTCTAATCCAAATCTGGCCTTGGAATTCAGGGGAAAGGCATTTGGGTTAGATAGGATGACTTTCTCACAGACTGTGTGATCTGATAAATGTCGCCTTTCCAGGAGTGAAGCAGGGGACGGGAAATGCTGTGTCTTTCCCATTAAATATAGATGTTGGCAATAAGTTCTCTTTGTTCTTTGTGTTCTGTGTGCTGCTGGTTGCAAGGCGGTTGGTTGGGTTGGCTAGGCTGGTTTTCACTATGAAGTACCACACACATTCTGGTAAAAAAGCTGAATGCTGTGAATTGACAAAGTGTTTATTTTGTTTTGTTTTTTGTTATGAGAAGCACTAGAGACTTTCTGTTTAGAAATGATAGCTGAGGTTCTTGGAGTGCTGAATCTGTTTTGTTCGCTATTCAAACCTGTTCAGTCTTCATGAGGTGGTGTGCCCTCTTACTTCTATAGCTTCAGTTACTGGCTCCCTACATACACCAGGGGCTGTTTGAAAGGAACCTTCTTGCACCTATCCAAATGAATGTCCTTCATGGCTCACTTGCCTGCCTTTTTCTCCTCTTAGGGCCAGAGACAGACTCTTCTTTTTAGTGCCACCATGCCCAAGAAGATCCAGAATTTTGCCAAGAGTGCTCTTGTGAAGCCTATTACCATCAATGTGGGACGCGCAGGAGCTGCTAGCTTGGATGTCATACAGGTACTTGTACTGGCTTGACTTTGTGTTCCCTAAATATATATGTTACATTATGTGTCTTATCAGATCAGAAGTGACTTAAACAATCCCAATAAAGCCTTTAAGGTAGGTGGAACAGCTATATCAATTCCAACCTCCCCCCACTCTGGTGTGTTTCCATAGCCAAGCAGGAATTCAAACCCAGGTCTTTTGAATTGTAGTCCGCCACTCTATCCACTACAGTGACTACACTATGCAGGATTTTGTCATACTGAAAACTGCCACCTTGTGACCCCACCATTTATCTGCTTGTATCTAGGAAGTAGAATATGTGAAGGAGGAAGCCAAAATGGTGTATCTGCTGGAATGTCTACAGAAGACCCCACCGCCTGTGAGTGCAAACCGAATCAGTGCTTGGCTAACCACTTGGGCCTGGCTCAGGCCCCTTTCCTTCTTTCAGAGAGTGCAGAGCATCTGACCTGGGACTATGTGATCTTCTCCTGAAATTGCTGCTAAGTGACTGTTATAGAGCCTCTGTTGTGTCCTGGTTCTGGAAGTGAAGGTGGCCCTGATTGGGCTGAGAGACTGTTACAATATATCCTTAGCCCAGGAGTGGGAAATTTTTGAGGGTCTATGAGCCAATTTTCTGCTACAAAGGACCAAAAAAAATTGGAGAGAGGAATTTTTAAAAAATCAGTTTCCAGTTTTTGGAATTCTTCTGACTTTATTTTTGGAGGATTCAAGGGAATCGGGAATGGGTAGGGAGCTTCATCCCATTTAAACATGTAATAATTGCATGTGGATGTTTCTGTGAGCAAAAATGACATATTTAAAGAAATAGTGATAATTTGCCTCTCGGGGGAAGTGAGGCTAGGGCCTCTGCTGACTGAGGATACTTATTTTATGAGAGTATCTTTTTTTCCCCTGACAGGTCCTTATTTTTGCTGAAAAGAAAGCAGATGTGGATGCAATCCATGAATACTTGTTACTCAAGGGGGTGGAAGCTGTGGCCATACATGGTGGGAAAGGTCAGTAACAGTCTGAATCTGAATGTACACCTTTTATTCAAGAGGTCTCACAGTGATCTACAAATGCAGCAGGAGGATTTGGACATGGAACAGATCCATTATACTTGCTATAGTTTCATTTTTCTTTCCTGTTCACTAGTACATGGAGTTGTTCTATTAAAAAGAAAGATGCATAGTCCACTTATTATGATAAATGAACAGTCTACATTGTTAAGGCTGGTCCTCTAAGGAAATAAAAATGAAAGGAGTGCAGGAAGGAGCCTCCCTTGTTGCCTCAAAACCTTTAGATAAGGGGTTGGATTTAATAGAACATCCTCATTTAGAGGTACCACGTTGAAAGTCAGAACAGACATGATGCCATCCAGCTTCTGGTAAGAGATCGATGCTGTTCCAAACAGGCCAGAAGGCAAGTCTTTTAGTAATTCATGAAATATGTGTAAAGTTTCCTAGATGGAAGCAAGTGTCAGACAGAAGATTCTCCAAGTCTGTGTTCTCTGTTGTGCTCCATTCCTTTTCTGCACAAATTATGAAATCCATGTTTGGGGGTAGGAAGCTGATGTCATGAGTAGTGACGCTTGGATGGCATACACAGAGAACTGACGTGAAATTACAGGTTGCAGTTAAAACAACAAAATCAAGAATGAAACTGCAGAATGAATGTTGTGGTTACAACACACACCAGGAGAAAATTTCTTCCTACGTGACTAGCCTGGAAGGACGTTAAACACTGTTAAACTGGGATCCAGCCTTTCCTGGTTCTGATTTCTAATCTCATTTACGGGGCACCTTTCCCGGAGAAACAATAGCCCACATCTGCTAGCTTCACAACTCCCCCTTCCCTGTTGGCTCTATTCCACCTTAGAGATGTCACCATCAGAACCAGGAGCTGTCATTGAGAGGCCTGTTGAGCAATTCACTCAGCACTTCATAGATGTGTCTGTTTATACAACAGTCCTTTTGTTCTGGGGCTGTGAATAATGCTTGGCAGAAAATGGAAATTCTTGTAGTTCTTGGATTGCTAGTGAGGGGAAGTGCTGCCGCTGCTATTGTGATGCCTTCTTTCTTTTTGCAGACCAAGAGGAGCGGACTAAGGCCATCGAAGCCTTCCGTGATGGCAAGAAAGATGTTCTTGTTGCCACTGACGTTGCCTCCAAAGGCTTGGACTTTCCAGCCATCCAGCATGTCATCAACTATGACATGCCTGAGGAAATAGAAAACTATGGTATGGAAGAGAGAGGCAAGCTTGGCTGAAGAGCCTGGGCTACTGAGTTGTATCTGCTAGAGTCCTTGCCCTCTGTGAAGAGCTTCCCCTGAAGGAGAGCTCTATGTTAAACCATGTTCAAAAGCCCTTTTGACACACATACTCCCTCTATTTGGCACTTGTCAGGCCTCACCTAGAGTACTGTGCCCACTTCTGAACACTGTACTTTAGGAAGGATGCCAACAAACTTGAAAACAAGCTCAGAGGAGGGCAACGAGGATCATCGGCGGCTCCTGGGAGGAAAGACTGAAAGAACTGGACTTATTTAGGCTTGAGAAAAGAAAACTGAGGAGAGATAGGATAGCATTTTTTTTCCAAATACTTGAAAAACTATCATACAAAGGAGGGGCAGGATTTGTTCTCGGTCATCCCAGAGTACAGGATGCGAAACAATGGACTTGAAGCTACCGGAAGCCAGATTTAGGCTGAATTTCAAGAACATTTCTTAACTGTTAGAGCTACAGTACATGACAGTTCAGCCAGTTACCTAGGGAGGTGGTGAGCACTCCAGCACTAGAGGCATTTAAGAGAAACTTAAATCCTTTGATTTGTATCCCTTCATTGAGCAGGAGGTTGGACTCCGTGGCCTTATAGGTCCCTTCCAACTCCATTATTCTATGATTTTATGACTTAGAAAAAACTTAAACCAGTAGGATTTTGCCTTGCTGATCTGCCACATGGAAATGTGCCGTATGTGAATCCTCAAATTGGCTTGGCTAAGTTAGGTGCAGTGCCCCTGAGATGATGAACAGCTACCAGCTTCTTTCCAGTTTGGTTGATTGTATGTCTGACTTTTATTTTACTTCCCCCTTTTCTCTCCCCCCACCCTCAGTTCATCGAATTGGGCGTACAGGCCGTTCAGGGAATACTGGCATTGCCACCACTTTCATCAACAAAGCTTGTGGTAAGGAACTGAGAGGAGCCGGTGGGGAGACTGGACTGTGGGGGAGGGTCAAGGATACAGAACTGATGCCGCTCACATCAGACCCCTAGTGCTGTGGGGGCCTGCGGAAGAGTCAGCCAGAGCCATGGTTCCATATGAGTCACTGCTGAAAACAGACTTTTCTGGGAAGCAAGGATATGGTTTGTGAGAGGCTTGAGTCTTCCTGGTGGAGAAGGCTACTTCCTTGTCTGTAGGCAATTTCCTCTACTTCCTGAAACAGGATGCTCAGTGGTTTAGGCATCTGGCTGCGGAGCCAGCGGTTGGGAGTTCAGTTCCCCATTGTACCTCCTTGACAGGGGCTGGACTTGATGACCCATAGGGTCCCTTCCAGCTCTGCTGTTCCTTAGGCTAATGGGTGTTACTTCTAACTGGCCTCTTGTTCCCCAGATGAGTCGGTGCTCATGGATTTGAAAGCACTGCTGCTGGAGGCCAAGCAGAAGGTGCCGCCTGTGCTGCAGGTGCTGCACTGTGGAGATGAATCCATGCTTGACATTGGAGGTGAGTGGTGATTTTCATGGAGTGGGACAGGAGAGTGGGTCTGAAGGAAGCAGTTGGGAATGTAGTTTCAGTGTCAGAACACCCTTGCCTAAGCGAAGGCTAGATGGGGCAAAGGCCTCCTGGAAGCCTTTATGTATTGTACTTTCAGCCAGGGTTGCTGGAGTGGGATGTGGGAGACACACACACACACATGGATGTGGGAGAGACACACACACACACCAGCAAGCAGCAAGGATGTCTGCTGCTTTGGGGTCACTAAGAGGGGAAGGCTTAGCTTTTTCCCCCACCTCCATTGATGTGATTTATCCAGGATCCCCTTTTTAGTATTGTCAGTAGCAGTAACCAAGCGGTAATCTCAGGAGGAGAGGAATGCTGTGATGTGCACATGGATGCCATATAACTGGCATGTATTTGGGGGGGAGCAGGAGGCTGCTGGATGTCCACCTATTTTCAACAATATCGAAGCTTATAAAAATAATGGGGGACCTTATGTGGATAGTGGCCTCAAGGAATTTATTTCTCTAATTTCTAAGCCACTTTTCTACTAATGTAGGAACCCATCATATCTCGTAAAGAGATTTAAAACTAAATAGCCAGAACCATGGAAAGTTTTAACATTAAAACCAATTGAACATGTAATGTTATTAAAAAGACTAATATGGGAACAGATTTAAAACAATGTATTCACAAAGGCTTTCACGGCCGGGATCTAATGGTTGTTGTGGGTTTTTTGGGGTCTTTGGCCATGTTCTGAAGGTTGTTTCCTGCTCCAGTCCTCTGAAGATGCCGGCCACAGAGACTGGTGAAATGTCAGGAAGAACAACCTTCAGAACATGGCCAAAGAGCCCGAAAAACCCACAACAACCAAAGATTTAAAACATTTACTAAGGCACCCATGACAAAGAATAAGATATGTATCAGGTCTCTGATACAGCCTTAAAAAAAATTTTTTTTGCCTCCTGCCAGAAAGATAGTGGGGGTGGGTGGGGATGTAGGCTCTTTATGGAGTACGTTCCACTACCTGGGAATAGCCACTGAAAAGATCTGATCTGCATCATCACGAAGCATGCCAGTAAAGACAGCAGGACTGAGTGAATGCTCTTCCCTAAATATCTTAAAGGGGAGGCTCATATGGGGAGAGAATATCTTTCAGATAGCCTGGACCTAAGTTGCGTTTAGCCAATGCTTTGAACTTGGCCTAGAAATGGATTAGTAGGAGTTAATTGGAGCTGTCATAATTAAGAGTTCTGTACATCATGTTACTGGTCCCCAGTCAGCAGTCTGGTAAAGCATTTTGGACCATGTTTCCAAACACTGTGCAGAAAGGATTAAAGGAATTCTTAGCAGGCAGTAATTCTAGACCAAGTCCAGTACCATCAGCATGTTTAGAGAGGAGCACCTAGCTGGACCCCCCTCTGCCATCACTTTCTCTAGGCAATCAGCAACTAGTCTGAAGAGAATAGTTTCATTCTTTGTATGGAGGCTATATCCACAAGCAGGAACCCAGAATTTCCAAGATGCCTGCATGTGACCAGAAACCCTTCCTCTTCAGAATTGTTGCTGCTGGCACGAAGGAGTCCACAGGAAAGGAGGAAGGGCTAAGTGCTCCCCTCTGAACGTGTTGATGACACTGCCTGAATAGAGCTCAGATGTCTTCCATGTCTTTTCCTAGGATGAAGATGATAAAATCAGATTCTTAGCAGTGTGGCATAGGCAGGTGGGGGCCTTACTACCTAGAGGGTATTTGAGTGCTACATAAGGATTTGCTTCTGTTGTCTTCACCCCCTTCTTTTTGTGTGTGTGTTCTGCACCAGTTAAAAGTCCTGAACTCGGGCTGACACTCTGGTTCTTGTCTTCCAGGGGAGAGGGGTTGTGCCTTCTGTGGAGGCCTGGGCCATCGTATCACAGACTGTCCGAAGTTGGAAGCTATGCAGACAAAGCAAGTCAGCAACATTGGGCGCAAGGACTATTTGGCCCACAGCTCTATGGACTTCTAGAAGCTCCTCCTGCCTTTTGGACAAGCCAAGATGTAGACAACTAGAAGGGCAATTTTTCTCCACAGTCACTTGCAATGCAACTTATAGATTGTTACCTATTAGGGTGAGAAATCTCAGCAGGCTTGCTCCCTTTGAGAATCCTTCATTGCAGTCATAGTTGCTAATCATGCCCCAATATTAAATGCATTGTTGTGGCTCTCAGACTCCATGGACCGGGAGATGCACTAAGCAGGATGTCTTGTATTGCTTTCCAGACATCACTTGGTAGGTGTGGGTGGCATGTCCTGTGCTTTTTCCACACCCACTTTTCGATTTCTGAACTTTTTGTCCTTTTAAAAAAAAAGTTATGGCAGTCTGGTGCTGCAATCATCCATTGCGCCAGCAGTTGTTGTCACTCATTGTTGGGCAAGCTCTGTGCTCCTCATCAGATGGCCCTGATAGGGAGGCAGGGACCAATTGGCAGACAGTCAGAGTTCAGCTTCTCCATTCTCTGGCTCCAGTGACATTTTTCCGGGGCTTGAGGTGCTCCTCCCTGCTTTGTGTGCACTCCTACCTCTCCCCTTGCCTTCATTTCCAACTTTTTTTTGCATTCCTCCACCTGCTCTGCTTGGGAGTTGCCTCTACAGCTGCAGGAAATGGACTCTGGTTACCCACCAGCCCTCTCTGAATGACAAGTCCCTTGGGACGGTCTGTCTGTCTCCTGGGGCTCCTCGGCCTGTTGCAGCTCCCAGTATGCACGCGGGCCTCAAAGAGGAAGTGAGCGGGCAGAGGAAGTCGCCAGTGTTATCATACATACTGACTCATTCCTGTGGCGGCCACAGAAGCTCCGTCTCTCTCCTTTGCTCCTCACTGGGTTGTCTTGTTTGGAGCCTACCACCACCACCCCATGGAGCACCCTGTGAAAGAGGGGATCCTCTACATCCAGCACCCCAAATTTGGGAAGGTAAAAAAGAGGCATCTGACTGGGGGCAGGGGAAGGGGGTTTGTACAGTAAGTCCTTACTATGTTTGTGTGGCTCCAGCGAGGCTTGATGAAGGGAGCAAAGGTCTTGGCACTTGCTGTGCCATCTTTAAGGGCTGAGGCAATGCCGTATGTAAAACAAAAGGGGCCCACAGACCCTGTGGTCACTTGGTATCTGCTTCTCCTCTTCTGCTCTGTCATATTACTGCATTGTTTATAGCCAAAAGTTACATTGTCTTTGAATGTAAATAATTTCAGTAACAAATTAAAATTTAAAATGTGTCAGAAGAATGTTGTGTGCAGAATATGGAGCGCTGGGCTGAAACTAGAGTGTGCAGGGGGGAACTCTTGGCTTCTGGCCCTGAAGGATGGAAGCCCAGAATTAACGGGGATTCTGAAGAACCGAAGCGCATGTAGTTTACCTCTTGACAGCAAGGAGGTTGCTCGACTTGAGATGATCCTGTTCCTTGGCTTTCTCCTTTCCTATCAACTCCAGGGCTATAGTTACCAGTTCATGCCCACAAAGCCTCGGCCCCACTGAAGGGAGGCATTAGCTATGAGGCCAGAGCTCAGACGGTTGCTCACCCATGGGGAGATGATACAGCGTGATTGCTCCGGTGACATGGTTCAGTGATTCTCTCAGTTTCGGCCACCTGCCTTAAGCCCCAAGATGGGCAAATATCAAATGACTACACACAACCATACGTAGGGGTGACAACCAGGTGTTTTAGCATTCTTAGGAGGCGTCCAGACAACTCCACTTACATTTCACTTGTCAGTAACCCTGAATAGAAGGCTAATATTCGTATCTTCGTAATGCCCAAGTCCACCATGTGATGTGAGACAAACTGGGAACTTACTAGCTCACAGCTCATATTCTTGGCCGCATCTTGTTCTGTATCTGCCCCACATTAAGAAAACCAATTCTGGAATTCCTTTTCCAATCTCCTTTGTGGCTGGTGTTTGCCAGGTGGATACTGGTGAATGAGATGGAAAGTACTGGTAGCTGTTGTATGCTTCCTGAGAAGCCATTTGAGCTATGTCATTGACCTGTTTTCTTGTTTTAATATTGATTATTCAGCAGAATGCAACTTCCTAGGAGTGTCGGTAGCCTGCCTGAAGCTAACCCCATGAGTGCCAAGTGAAAACTATTCTCCCTTCTTAAAAGAACCCACTGTGGTAGCTGGTCTGTTTTTTCGTTGGGCTTTGCATCCAGTGCAAGCATGGTTTCTAACAACCAGCAAGGATTTTCCTGATTCTAGCTCTGTAGGGATAAGATCAGAGCATCACTTTGGCTCCTGCTGCCCAGATGGGATTGACAGGACGAATGTCAATTGCCTTTCCATACTACATAATAACCCATGCCCTCCTTGACACCAGTGCTTTGTTCCAAGGATCCAACTTCGGTCAAAAGGCAAACTCCACCATGCTGTGTTGGTGTACCCTTTTGAAAGCATTCATTACTTGTATGGTATATGCTGAAGATTTTCCTTGCACTGCATGAGAATTACATTTCGGGTCAGTGCTGGCAACCTGCTGATAATATATGCTGGAAGATTTGCTTAATGTGATTCATTTTACTCTGCCGTTCCGTTCTTGTTGTGAAAGCTGGAGGTGGTGACTAGGGCTGAGGTAAAATGAAGTGGGAGAAACCATGGCCAGTAAATAGATGCTTCAAGTTTTACATTTCACTTGACACAGCTCGCACTTTTTTAGGCTTTTCTCTACAATACATGCATGGGGGTTAGAAACCTGTTTCTGTTTTTAATGAAATATGATTTTCAAAGAGTTGAAGAGGCTAATGTGCCAGATGCTCTTATCTGAATGTGGCAATTTCACAAATGTTCGCACTGTGAAGAATCTTGGCTACAATGAAGCAAATGCCCTGAAACAATCCTCATAAATGTTTTGATCTTCTCTGGTTCTACGGAATACCTCCTCCTGTTCCTAGCAAAAATAGTCTACGACAGTGGTTCACAAGTAGTGGTACACATACTGCTGATCAGACACAGAGACTATTTAGATGTGATACAGTATTTTCATAACAGTTGCCAAGACCTCGGTTTTCATTCATCTCCGTGCCCACAGCAGGAGCAAGGGTACCACCTCCTGCCCTTACCTACCTTTGATTGTCTTCCATCTGGGGATTTTAGAGCAGGCTAGTTACAATGCCGGGTGCCCAGTGTTTCTCCCAGTCCTTGTCATTAGAATGCCTGTAACCAGTGCCTTCTTTGTGGAAGAAGTGGCCTTTTTCTTTCTGTCATAGTAGTCCTTGCATTCTTGAAGAGATGGTAGTTGGTGGGATGTGAAATACAGTGGTCGGAAGCACTGGTTTAAGGGCCAGTTTAGAATCTAGATGGTCATATCTCTGCAAGAACACTTCCTCTTTCCGTAGTGCTGCTTGCCTGCATGCAAATTTTCCTGTGTGAGCTGTTGCTACCCAGAGTGCATGTTCACCTGTGTATGTTCCTGATGGCATGCTACCACATTTTGCTTCCACTCACAGAAGACCTGGCGGAAAGTGTGGGGTCAGCTCTTTGCTGACAGCCCTTCTGGCATTGCACGACTGGAATACTTTGAAGCGCGTGATAGTGCCAAAGGGGAGAAGGGCACCCTGCGGAAAGGGGAGCGGAAGGTGATCCGTCTCTCCGACTGTGTTTCTGTGGAACGTGCTGGGGAACACAGTAGCCCCAAGGATACAGCACCCTTCTGCTTGTGCCTGATGGAGCGCAATTGCTTTCTGGCAGCCGATCAGCCTGATGACTGGATAGAGCGTATCTGCCAACTGGCTTTTCAGGTACTGACTAAGTAACATCTTCATTTTGTAGAAGTGTCTTGCTTCTCACTAAGCCAGGGGGAGGATCTTCATGCCTACAACTCGGCCATAGAAAAGAGTGGCTGGGGGAGCCAAACTCAGTCTCCTTTCCCATAGAGGTTGCTTGTAGTAGCAAGATTCATACAAGGAGGGGGTTGAACTAGATGAGTTTTTTCCCCTAATAGGTGGCCTTCCAGATCGTTTTAAACGTCCAACTCCTAGCAGCCTGGTCAACATGGCCAGCGGCCGGTAATTCTAGGAACTGAAGCCCCAAGCATAGGGATGATTAAGAGTCAAAAATCAGCAGTTTATATGTCTCGGTTCCTTTCCAACTCTAAAATTCTGATTATTTTTCTTGTGCTATGCAAGGGGCTTGTGGAGGTCTTGGGGTAGACTGCTGCAGTGGCTAATATTTCTTGCCTGCATATAGCGCATGCCCATGTTGTTTTGGCTTTATTCTGAGTGTAAGAATTTATACACATTCATAAAAATCTTCAGCAGTCATGTCCTCCAAGAACACAGATAGTGATGAAGCACTGGAAATTCTAAATCCTTTTGGTCTCATTAGCAGCTTTTTTCTAAAACTCATGTTCAGATATCAGCTTCAAGGATTTTAATTAGACTTGCTTCCATGTAAAAAGAATGTATAGGAATTTGAGCTTTAATGTGCAAAGAGTTTTACAATCTCTCCCACTTTAATTAACTCTGATACTTTGTAATGTGGTCTTATTCCCATGGAAAATGAAGATAACAGCAGCCTAGTTTCTCAAACTGTTACATTACAAACAAGGTAATAAAAGGAATGATATTCTTTGCACAGTAATAGTGCTCTGTTAATTGTGGTGACCTTAATTATCATGCAACTGGGATGGAGAAAAGTGACTCAGGAGGGAAACGTTCTCATTGACACAGCACTTCTAACTGCACTCTTTTTGAAATAAATAAGTCCCTTCCCAGTAGTCTGAGACACAAGGAGAGAAAGAAAAAGAAGTGACTGTTTTCAGATTTGAAATTTGGTACAAAGAGAGTATTAAAATAAAGAAGGGATTATAAATAATGTTACCTGGGAAATGTGACATGTGATCATAAAACTGAGGTATGCCTGTTAGAGATTACTTCTGGGCAAACAGCTAATTTCACCAGATTGGCAAAATGCATGCAAAAGGCTATTGACTCCACAAGACCAGCATAGCACATTTGGAGTTGCAACTCACTGGGAGAATCTATGAGAATGCATGTATTCTTTGCCCAACCGTACCCTTCACAGCTCACATGCTTTCCCCAATCAGCTCCATTCCAATACACAAAACCAGAGGAGGCTGAGATGTCAGGCAAGTTGGGTCTCTGGTGTGGGTTTTTTCCTTTCCCATTCCCTCTTCCTCCCCAGTCTTGAGCAAAAGAAATGAATAGGGCTTAAATTAAATTTAAAAATTCCAGGCTGGACCTTTGCCCCTCTCCCCAGCCGCTGCACTTTTCTGCTTTGGTTCAAGCTATGACGCCTGCTGAACTGATCCAAATGGATTTTTTTAAAAAAGTAGAAGCCCCAGTGACAGTGGGAAAAACTACAGATTTGGAAGTGGGGGGGTGGGCGGGAGGAACTCCGGTCTAAATCACATTTTCTTTTTCTTCATGTGGTCAATGTGAAAAAAGGCAGTCAGTAAATCTCAAGCCCATAGCGTTTCCTGCATTTTTTACAAATGTGTTCACACCCACAAGTTACCAAAAAGTATTATAGATCTTACAGTCCTCTGCTTGGGTGTTAGTATGATTTTAGTAGTTTGTAAGAATCATTTAAAGTGTTGGAGGAAGTGAATATACAGTATGTTGCTAATATGCTAAAAAGCAAATCCTCCCAAAAATGATGGGATTATTGGTTGAGAGTCCTCAGGGTGTCATTCAGGAGAAGAAACCAAATGTTATAGAACCTTCTCATGCTTTCTTCTGAGAAATATTCCCTTTTCAATAATTTTCTTTCTTTAATTTTCTCTTTGCTCTTGTGCCTACAGAGGCCCTCTGCCCAGTCCAGTACGGCTGGAAACACTCCCAGTCCACAACCCCAAATGGAGGAGAATGCCATCTACTCATCCTGGCAGGAAAGTATGTGAATTGGCCCAAGAGCTTGGAACACTGATTTTCAAAAATAACTCCTTGTTTTTAAAAAATATGAGTTGTTGTGGTTGCCTATTAATTATAAACACATGACAAAAAAAATGTTGTGACACCTTTAAGATTAACATGGTTTCTTTCTCCGTGAGGTTTTGTTGGATTATCACCCACTTCTTCACAAATATGGGGTACAATGTTCAGGCCAGGGGCTTTATACAGCACCAGGCCTGAACATTGTAGGGTTGTGGGGTGGGAACTGGCTGAAATAAAATATAGACACAAGTAATAAACTTTCAGCACAATGGTGAGCATGAACTTACACTCTTTTCCCCCCTCTCATTGCCCTTACGTAAGAACATAGGAAGAACCTGGCTGGATCAGGCCAAGGGCTCATTTAGTCCGGCTTCCAGTACCTCACAGTGGCCTCCCCAGATGCCTCTGGGAACCCACGAGACAACGAGATACCTGTTTCCTGATAATGGCCCCACCAGATGCCTCTGGGAGTCCACAAGACAACAAGATACCTGTTTCCTGATAGGTATCCCCTACATCTGGCATTTTGAAGTACCTTTTAAGCCTGGAGATTATACATCCCCATCATGGATTGTAATCTGCAATGTCCAGTCCCCTTTTAAAGGCATCTAGGCCAGATGCCATCACCACATCACGTGGCAAGGAGTTTCACAGAATAACAACATGCTGGGTAAAGAAATATTTTATTTTGTCTGTTCTCACTCTCTCAACACTCCATTTGATTGGATGTCCCCTGGTTCTAATATTGCATGAGAGGGAAAAGAGCTTCCCTCTGTCCACTTTATCCATCCCCTGCATCATTTCATACGGTCATTTAACACCAGAAATAAACTGTGTTCACACAGTTATGACTTTCAAAGTGTTCAGTACATAAACATCCTGATAACAGGCAGAATGATAAACAGAGTGATAAAACCGCCACGACCGCTGCCACCAATGCAGAGTGGACAGGCTGTTCTCTTTTGAAGTGTTCACATGCAATGACTTTTGATTTCAGGAGGAATCCATTGTGCAGAAGCCAGAGTTTCATCAAAGAAAGCCAGCTTTGTGGCTATAAAGAAGAGGGTAGATGAAACTAGCTTATCAGGATACATAAGGTGCTAAAAGCCCCAGTCTCCATTTAAGCCGGCTATAACCTCTTTTATTAATCTCTTTCTGTCATCCCGTTTTTCTGCAATAAGCACAGGGACCGACTATCCTAGGTGGTTGAAACACTGCCTTTTGTGGGTTGCCACTTGTGATGTCAGATTGGCACCCATTTCTTCTGTTGCACAGAGAATTACCTTGCCTGCCCTGGGCAGAATGGGAGGGGTCACTGCTAGGAAGGAATGGCATAGCTTGCATTAACAGAAAAACAAGTAAATTAGCCCCTAATGTTGTTGTTAACATTATTGGGACCTTTAGAAGAGCTACTGGAGTGACTTCTTAACATTCTTTGTTATTAACACATGTTCTCATGTTCCTTTTAAATTATTTTTAAACCTATCTGACTATACTGCACTAGCCCGAAATGGTCAAAAATATATGGCTAACCGTTTCACTCCATCCACTAAAGGGAGTCGGGCATACCTTTCAAGCTTAGCTTAGGGTTCTTTTTCTTTCATTTTCCTTATGACTGAATCCAGGATTCCACCACCACCCCAGTCCAGTGAGCATAAGCCCTCCCCACCCCCACAACAAATCTGAGACAAAGAGAGGCCAAGCACTTTGACAAGGAGGGAAGAAACTTCTGACAAATCATCATGGACCACTACCTCTGTGAAAAGGCAGACACCTGCCTCTAGTTTGAGAATCACCTTGGGAAGAACATGAGCGTTAGGAGTTCATGGAGGGATGTGGAACCTCTGGCTGCTGGGCTGGGTATGGCCCACAGCAGTTCCCCATGCCCTTGGTGCCCTCTTTTCCTGGTCAGTGAGTGGAGATAAAACTCTGTTAAAAATCTAGGAGTCTATGGTATGGAAATGAGCAGTAGGTTGCAGTCTGGGAAGCTGTTGCATTGGCTGTTACCCTCCTGTGTAGACATGTGACTAGTACCTATGCTATGAGACCTTTCCAGAGAGAAGAGTTGAAGTATTTCTGAAATAAGGCGCATGTCTTAACCATTGGGCACTTTGAAAAGAGGGGATGGCCTGTGTCTGGAGCAATGGCTCTTAAACCCAGGAATAACATGGGACAGAGCTGTTGTGCAATATTTGGGTTACAACAGCATGGGATTTGGACTTGCTTTTATTGTTATGGATATATATATAAAGAGATTCCGTAATAGTTTCCAATCTCTTCTCAGCAGCATGTGAGTATCCAGTGACTGTGGTTCCAACAGAGGCGTCTACCAAATGTCACTTGAAAGGAAACTACCTGATGGCGTCTTTACCTGAACAGCTGGTGCTGAAGGATGTCCAGTCTGGGCAAGCACTTTACACTTGGCCTTATGCTTTCCTCCGAAGATTTGGCCTGGAAAAGGTAGGAGTCGGCTGGGACCTCCAGCTGGTTGTGCAGCAGCCCCACAGCCCCTGGTTTAAGCCCCACAGTTCAGGATGGGCAACTTCAAAATGGCCGTGGAACATTTTTCCACTCCTCCCCCCTCCCAAAGTCGTCTTCTGCTTTAAAAAGACCTTTATTTTTCCAAAAAAAAAACAACCAAAAAAACCACCCCAAGGTGTGTGGGGGAGGGCTCACTCCCTTGGTTTAAAGCAGGGTTTTGTTTCGTAGAGTGCGACTTTGATGTATTTTGACGAAAAGAATAACAACAAATTATTGTAGGTTAAACTTTGGACTGTGTTTCTGGTCATGTGAAGGGGGAACCTCACTGAGGTAGCACAGAGGAGATGAAAGTCCTTTAACTTTCCCATCCTTCCCCCCATCCCCCCCAATGCTGTTCAATTATCTTCAGTATTGAAATGGTTAAGTTTCCACCCACCTTCCCTGCATTTAAAAATTAAGCATTTCCGCTACCCTTTTGATGTGATAATATTGATTCCCCTTCCTTTTATGGCACTGCTGCCTCTCCAGGTTTCTCTGAGAGCCCAGGCAGAGCCATTTCATGAATGCAGGCTTTGGCTCCCTTGGGGAGGACATGCTTTGTATTCAGATGGTGGACAAAGACAGTGTCAGCAGCTCCCAGCAGGGCAGGTGCTTCGCATGCAGAAGGTCTCTGCCATTTTCAGTGAAAAGGAAGGATGGGCAAAAGGTGGCCCATTTTTCAAAGTCAGAAGCAAACTCCCAGCCACTTCTGGACTATTTTTCTTCTTCTCTTTTCTTTTCTTTTTTGGAGAGAGAGGTAACATTTTTGGCAGTCTATACAGCTGTCAGAGGGCACCAGATCAGAAAAATGGCACCATGGACTCCCTACTATTACCAACACCTCATGGAAAGGATCGCAGTGTTAGTAACTGGGCAGTCTGCTCTCTGCCGAAGCAAATTATGCTTGGCTGGAAGTCAAGCTGGAAGGAAGCTTCGACACACCGTCTACACCAGGGGTGTCCAACCTTTCACCTTCCCTGGGCCTCATTAGAAGATGAAAATTTGGTTTGGGCTGCATGGGGGGGCAGCCCTAGCCGTCTTCCGCAGCCCCGCTCCAAGCACGCTTACCGGCAGCTGCGATCTCAGACAACACAGGCTGCCAGCTTCGGCTCCGGTGGTTTTATGGGGCCGGGAGGGGGTCCACTTATTGACGGGGACGGCGCAATGCAGTCACACAGGCCCCCTCTCGCCTCCCCCCCCGCTCCCTCCCTCCTTCCCTCTCTCCCCCCCCCCCCCGCGGAGCAGAAAAATGGCCCATGGACTCCCTACTATTACCAACACCTCATGGAAAGGATCGCAGTGTTAGTAACTGGGCAGTCTGCTCTCTGCCGAAGCAAATTATGCTTGGCTGGAAGTCAAGCTGGAAGGAAGCTTCGACACACCGTCTACGCTACTGAGTCCAGTTTTCTGGTACAACAGCCACCCTCAGCCTTGGTCTCTGAAGGTTTTGGCCTACATCTCCCATTAGTATCAGCCAGGGTTCAAGGGATAATGGGAGCTGTAGGTCAAAGCTTCTGGAACAGCCTAGATTGGGAAAGGCAGCTGGGCTGGGGAAAATCTCTGCTGAGATCCAAAACAAACCCACCCCATCTGAACTGGCAGTCCTAGAATTGATCAGAGCCAGCTGGAACCACAAAGCAGACAGCTCCGGCCGCTGTTCTTGCAGGGTGGAGAGGAGCAATGTGGTCCTGGAGAGCATGCCCCCCCCCGAGCACCTCCTGATTAGGCTGCTGCCCTGAAGTGTGGAGGAGGAGGGCCTTGCCCCTTCTGATGGGGATGAAGACCTTCTACTAGTCTTTGAAGTAAATATCCATTTCTACTCTCTTTATCTGCTATATGTGGAGCAGAGATGAGTTGAGGAAAGAAAACTTTCACCTCAGAGAAAGAAAATATTGGAGAGAATATATAATGAGATGGCACTTGTCTCTATGTAACAGCTTCTTGTGCTGAGTCTTTTCTCCTCAATCTGCCAATGGGGAGAATGAGCACCACCTTCCCCACCTCCAGATAACCTTTGTTTTCTCTTTGATGCTGCTGAAGAAACTTGAGCAGAGGGTAGCGTAACGGAGCTAAGAGTACAAATCCTGATCTTAATACTTGTGTATGTGGTTCCCCCCCCCCTCTCTCTCTCTTCTCTCCCTAGAACATGTTCTCTTTTGAGGCAGGGCGTCGCTGCAACTCGGGAGAAGGTCTCTTTACTTTTAATACTGTCCGGGCTGCAGAGATCTACAGAAGTGTCTTGACTACCATCAACCGCCAAAAATCCCTCTTGGAGAGGGACAAGAAAGCTGGCATTTCCTCATCCCAGGAGTCTACACAGAAATCAGGAGCCTGGTCGTGGCCTAGCAGCAGGGAGGGCCTGGAGGAAGTTTCACCCCTTTACACCAGAAACCCAGCAGAACCCATGGAAAGGGCGAACAGTCACTCTGTTTCAGCAGAGACAAGAGTTTCTGAAAAACCCATCATCTATGCTTCCATTGGCAGGAGCTTCCCGGTCCTCTTCCAGGCCTGTGCTAAGACCGAGGCTGAACTCAAGGAGCAGGGAGAACAACTCTCAGATCACCTCTATGAAAACCTTTGTGCCCTGGAGCAGGGGGTTGTCTTCCACCCTTTGGAGTCCGCCAGCTTCAGTTACAGAGACTCCCCTGAGGGCAGCAGCAGCAGCAGCCAGGAGCCCTCACCGATCTACGACAACAGTCCCCTCATAGCCAAGCGATCAGCTAGTCACCCTAGCCCCAGTCCTCGTATGGAGGGTCCTGATTCCTCCCCAGAGAGGCAGTGCCTTCCCCCTCAGTCACTGGATTGCCAGGAGGCAGCAAGTGGAGGTGAAGGAAATGCCAAGTCCAAAAGCGGAGGGGCTGGGGCATTCAAGAACAAGCTGGTCACGATGCTTAGCAGAGACGGAGGAGCCCCTAAAGCAGCCAGCAGAAGTGTAAGTCCCATGGACAAGTCATAATGGACAGCTCCCACTGTGAGGACTGGACCTTGGGCCTGACGTTCTTCTTTTGTCTTCTTCCTAAGGATCTCCTGGACCTTGACGTCTAGATTGAGTGAGTCTGAAGAGCCAGCCTCTGAAACAAAATTACGGTCATTTGAAAAGCAAGCTCAACTACTCCAGCTGGGCAACTGTGGACCTTTTGGCTCACAACTCCCATAAATCCCTAGTCACTGGCCTCGTTGGCTGCCCTTGTTCACCACTGAGCCGGAGTCACTTCCTTCCATTGAGTCTGTCTTAGATAATTAGAGATAGAAGTGTTTCACAAATCACATTGATAAATGTACAAAAGTCTGGAAGGCCAGGCTGATGTGTTCCTTTGGGGTCCCCCCCTTTAAAAAAAAACAATAAATGGGATTTCTTGGATTGTTAACTGTAGTCTTGGTTTATTTAGACTCTGTTCTTGTATATTTTTTTTCTCTCATCACCATATTTTTTTTGTTTTTTTTACAGATGGGCTGCCCTTTCTTTCCATGGCTTAACAGTTTAATATTAAGGTCTGGCCCTCAGTTTACATGGACAAGTCCCATATATATGTAAAAGATCACAGATGACAAGGATGGAGGAACCTCATTTGAGAGCTTGGAGAAGCAGTTCCCTCTAGTTAGAACAACCATCTGACCACTGGCAGCCCTTGGTTCAAGGGAGAGTCTCCACCCATTCACACTGCTATATACTCTCCCCCTTCCCCTCTCAGACTACAGGCCACCCTGACCTGGTCCAAGGCAGCTTCATATGTTCACATATAAATGGGATCCCATCACATTACTGACCTCTTATAGCATGGCGTGAAATCAAGGTGGGCAGATGAGAATCTACTAGTACATCTCCGGATGATATGCAATGGATGAACTACTAGAGGGATTCCCTATATCCATTTTAGGGCTATACTTCCATTAGACCTACCAAAGAGGCAATAATTGTCTGCAAACTTTTGAGATATCTTTGTTGTTGCTGTTAAGCACTGTCAAGTTGCCGCCAACTTATGGAGAACCTATGAATGAGTGAGTGCCAAAAGGTCCTGTCCCCTCATCTGCCCTGCTCAGCTCTTGTAAACTCAAGCCTGTGGCTTCCTTTAGGTCTTTAGATCATCCAGCAAGATCAGAACTTGGAAATGTTACCTGTTTTTTTTTTCAGATGATAGTTCACTGAATCACTAGCCAAGATGGCCTTGTAGCCCTAGTTTGGAAAAAAAATAACATTTCCAAGTTCTGGGCAAGATGCTAAAGGGACTTGCCTTGCTCCTAGCTGCACAGCCCCCATAGTTTCCTGGGCCAGAATGGAGGAAGGGAGAGATCTGTAGACATCCAGGTGAAGCTCCACCACTTGATTTAATGGTTTCAACCTTACCTGGAGAAACTTTACCAATGCATAATAAAAGGGTGTTGAGTCTCTTTAAGGAGAAAGGCAGCGTAAAGAAAAGAAAAGAAAAGAAAAAAGAGAGGAAGAGAGAGAGATGTTTTGAGCACAGCAAGTAATTGAACGTTTTCAAATTTTCCAGCCATCTCTGCTATGTCTGCCTTATTTAGTCATTGCTTATCTCTTGGTCACAGTATTTCTTATCTGTAAAATTGCTTGAGTGTGTTTTTGTTCAGTACTATGACTGTACTGAAATTTTTATATCAGAATCCGTGATCTAAGTAACTCAGCTAAACCCCAGAATCTTACTGGTGATGCACACCAGTTAATCTTACGTTAATCTTAAAACTTCAGAGTTGAAAGTGATTGTATGGATCATGGAGCCCAAACCCAGTGCAGTGGGGAATTCCAGACTCTGGCTCCATAACCAGAAACCTAAACCACTGAGCTTTCACATGCATAAATGAAATGGCATAAATTGCAACAATTAATTGCTGTTAATTGGCAAGATGTCAGCAATGTTCCTGGTTATGTGCCTGTCATGCAACTAGAATTGCAATCAGCACTGTTAATTACCAACAATTCACCATGTGATTTCACACATGCACATATAAATAGCCAACAAGATTCTGACTAAAGATGTGTCTTTGTGCATAAAATAAGTCAGAAGCAACTTGATGGCAGATGCTGTTGTTGTTTAGTCGTTAAGTCACGTCCAACTCTTTCTGACCCCATGGACCAGAGCACGCCAGGCCCTCCTGTCTTCTACTGCCTCCCAGAGTTGGGTCAAATTCATGTTGGTCGCTTCGATGACACTATCCAATCATCTTGTCCACTGGTGTCCCCTTCTCCTCTTGCCTTCACACTTTCCCAACATCAGGGTCTTTTCCAGGGAGTCTCCTCTTCTGATGAGATGGCCAAAATATTGGAGCCTTGGCTTCAGGATCTGTCCTTCCAATGAGCACTCCGGTTTGATTTCCTTCAAAATGGATAGGTTTGTTCTCCTTGCAGTCCAAGGGACTCTCGAGTCTCCTCCAGCACCACAATTCAAAAGCATCAGTTATTTGGCGGTCAGCCTTCTTTATGGTCCAGCTCTCACTTCCATACATCGCTACTGGAGAAACCATAGCTTTGACTATGCAGACCTTTGGCGGCAAGGTGATGTCTCTGCTTTTTAAGATGCTGTCGAGGTTTGTCATCACTTTCCTCCCAAGAAGCAGGTGTCTTTTAATTTCGTGGCTGCTGTCACCATCTGCAGTGATCATGGAGCCCAAGAAAGTAAACTCTGTCAGTGCCTCCATATCTTCCTCTTCTATTTGCCAGGAGGTGATGGGAGTACAGTAGCGGCCATGATCTTAGTTTTTTGGATGTTGAGCTTCAGACCATTTTTGTGCTCTCCTCTTTCACCCTCATTAAGAGGTTTTTAAAGTCCTCCTCACTTTCTGCCATCAGAGTGGTATCATCTGCATATGGAGACAGTGACAGATTTTACTTTCTTGGGCTCCATGATCACTGCAGATGGTGACAGCAGCCA